TTTATATGCAATATTAGGATGGTTTTCTTCCTCAGAATGCTTTTAGGATCTCAAAGACATGTTAAGACTTGTAAAAAATAAAAAAGAGTTAATGCTACCGCCAAGTAATTTTCTGTAGTGGTTGTACCAGTTTACACGCCCACTAGTAGTGTCTGAGAATTCCAGTTGTCCCATATCCTTCTTAACACTTGGCGTTGTCAGTGTTTTTAGATTTAACATCATAGTCAGTGTGTGGTAATTATCATAGCCATTTTACATGAAGTCCATCTAAAATGTCTCATGCCTCCCAACATTTTTCAGCTGAATATAAACGAAATAGTTGATCTGTTGGTTCTGATATTTTGAATAGTCATTCTCTTGCTGTTTATGGTATGTTTATCCATTGTAGTGAGCTGTCACCTTTTATTGCTATCATACTGGCTCAGACTAGCAGCTTCTCCTCTCTTTCATCAACAGAGAATAAAGTAGATTAGAAATTTTGTGTTTGGGTTTGTAAGCCCCAAGTCCTTCTAGTGCAACAATATGTATTGTTTTTGCAGACCTCAGAAACAGCGCATTCTCTTATCTGTTGCCCGTTCAGGTCCCTGCCCCAGATCCCCTTCTACACCATCAGCCTCAATTACTCTGGACAAGGATTAGTTTAGTGAAGTCGGAGAGTGTGGATGAGGGGAGCAGGGACAGTCAGCCTAACTCTAGAGGAAAGCAGTGTTTGGCTTATGACTAGTAGACTCAGCTCTTCACTACGGGTCTGGATGGGGTTTCAGAGAAAAGAGAAGGGAGTGCCTGGCAAGGTAAGGAGACTGCCACTGTTGGTGTCATGGGAATTTGCTTATCTTGCTTATGTTACTACTGAAAGCCTTAGTACCATTCACACGCTAGTTCATGTTTATGAGAGTCACATAAAGCATCAGGCAAAAGATCGGGCCCATTTCCAGTCTTAATTCAGGGTGAATTCAATTCATGCCATCTTCTTGGCTCCACTTTCTCCCTTGTGGCGTGTAACTAGACTAACGTGAGAAAATGATCAAGAGGGAGGGCACCTGAAGAAAGCATCTAATTTAGCCTCTCGGCAATATACAAGAACACAACTATTTTGCATTGTGAATCCGCCTTCGTTAAATATGTTTGGAAGTGATCAGTGCTATGATTTATTAAGATTTTTTTACTTCAATGTCTGCAAAGACCATGCTGAGCTTCCCAGGTGGCACTAGTGGTAAAGAATCCACCTGCCAATCCAGGAGATGCAGGAGACGCGGTTTTGATCCCTGGGTCAGGAAGATACCATGGTGGAGGAAATGGCAACCCACTCCAGTATTCTTGCCTGAAAAGTTCCATGGACAGAGGAGCTTGACAGACTACAGTCCATGGTACTGCAAAGAATCGGACGTGGCTAAGCAACTGAACACACACACACAAGGACAATACTATAGAAATACAGAGTACTGTGATTTTTTTCCTTTCATTGCTCTGTGTAAACCTGTACACCTATAGAACATTGCACACAGTTGAGTTAACTCATGATGTGAGAATGATCAGTGAGTTAAGTCTTACTAATTGGTATTTTCTTGAAAGGCTCTACCCATGGTTGGTAAACTGTAATCCTGAAAGTCACATGCTCTTCCTCTTTATGGTATTCTTTCATAACCTCTGCCTGTTCTTTGTATTCTTTTGTTTCAACTTGACTCAGCTCTGAGGATGGAATAAATTAAGGTCTTGGACTTTTATGATATATGGGTTCAAAGGGATCCTCAAGGGGCTAATTCTCAACATTAATTGATTAAAAGATTTGTGTGTGAAAGTGTTTTCTGCAGCATTACATGAAGAGAACATTCCCTCATGTGATGGCCTGAAGAGTTGCCTGATACTCTCTGCTTAGTATAAATAGAGATGAATAAATCTCCAACTTTCTTTTTAGTTGTGTACATTTTATACTAAGATAGTCACAAAAGATACAAAGAATCGGAAGCTTAGTCACACTCCATTTTATTTTTCTCCAGGTTTTAAAATTTAAGCTCGTTAAGTTGACATTGGATATTGTTCCCAAAGTCAGCCATCACTTGTCTCATCACTGCCTTGCCCTCAAAGGAGCAAAAAAGTTCTGTCGTTATTGATTTTGGTCACCAGTGTATACTTCTTTGTGAATTTCTTTTTGGAAAGTTTGATGTAATCAACATAGTTAACCTCTCTTTAGACAGTTAGGTCAGCAGAAAATATTTCTCCTTCCTTTTAATGTTTCCTTTCTTAGACCTAAGGATAGGGGGTGAAAAACAAACTCCAAATGAAAAAGAGTTTTCACTTTTGCTTCTGGAAGTGGCACTAGAATTCAGATTGCAAAAATAATGCTTTTTTTGCAGCCACAGTAAGTAACAGGGGATTTGAGCAGCTCTTCTGTATTAGGGCGTTTAGAAGAAAGAGTGATTTCCATACCTCTGTGCCTCCAGTGAAAGTACCTTTTTTGTTTTTGTTGATAATAAAAGTAGTACATGCTACTTTTATTAGTAGTAATGAATTTAAACCATGTATGTAAAGTAGAATATGAAGATTCCCATAATCGGTGTTTCCAATCAAGATGTGTGTGTGTTGTCAACATAAATGGATTGTGCTTGGCATACTGTTCTATAACTTGTTTTTTCCCACTGAATATTTTACAGGCATTTTGCCACATCAGTGTCTGTGAGTCTGTCTGCAACATTCTTTTTAAATGACTCTATCATGTGGATGAATCAGAGTTGATTTATGTCATCCCCTCTTGATGGACATTACATCACTTCTCATTTTCTCATGTTCTAAACTTGTGTTGTTCAAGATGCTAGCCACCAGCCACTTGTGGCAGTTTAACTTAATTCAAATTAAATGACGTGTAAAAATGAGTTTTGCAGTCACATTAGCCATATTTCATGTGCTCCGTAGCTCGGTGTGAGTAGCACAGATGGAGAGCTTTCCCATCATTATGTAAAGATGTATTAGGCAGTGCTATTCTAATCTGCTGGTTTTCAGACTTCTTTTTGAGTGCATGTTCCTTTCTTTTATTCATCCATTCTTCACCCCTTCAATAAATAATTATTAAGTGCCTCCTATGTGCTCGGCATTGTGCTAGGTACTTCGATATATCATTCATAAAACACTTGCCCTCATAATGCTTAATATTCTATCAGTGAAAGGTTTTAACTGCTTCTAATAATGTATTTTTGGTTTAGTTGCTAAGTCATGTCCAACTCTTGCGATCCCATGGACTGTAGCCTGCCAGGTTCCTCTGCCCATGAGATTCTCCAGGCAAGAATACTGGAGTGGGTTTCCATTCCTTTAGGGGGTCTTTCTGACCCAGGGGTTGAACCGGGTCTCCTGCATTGCAGGTAGATTCTTTACTGCCTGAGCCACCAGGGAAGCCCCATATGTATTCAATATCATGCTGTTACATTTTAAAACATGTTAAAATAGGAATGAAAACAAATAAGATAAAAATGTGCAAAATTCCATTGTAAAAATTTTTTTATTAGGATATAGTTGATTTATGGGCTTCCCAGGTGGCTTAGTAGTAAAGAATCTGCCTCTCAAGCAGGAGGCAAAGGTTTGATCCCTGAGTGGAGAATATCCCCTGGAGAAGGAAACAGAAACCCACTCCAGTGTTCTTGCCGGGGAAATCCCATGGACAGAGGAGCCTGGCAGGTTACAGTCCATGAGGTCGCAAAGAATTGGATGTGACTGAATGACTAAACAGCAGCGGCGGTTGATTTAAATGTTGTGTTGCTTTGAACTGTACAGAAAGTGAATCTGTTGTAAATACACGTATATCCACTTGTTTTTGGATTCTTTTCCCACATAGGCCTATGCAGAGTACTGAGCAGAGTCCCTTTTGCCACACCGTGGTCCTTACCAGTTATCTCTTTTAAAAATGTACATAATTTCTGAAGTAGTCTTTCTGTGTCCCACCATGGGAGCCACTGTCTCTAATGGTGCTCTTGGACCAGGCAGTTATCTCTAAAGCTTCTTCCAGTACTGAAACTGAACTGTTGTCACATTTTAAGTAGGTCTTTGATTTTGATATTCGTAGGCTTTTTCCTATACTATTTGCATTTGTCCTTATATATTTATTTAGCAGGAATTTATTAAGTTCATACTGTATGCCAGGTAGGTGCCAGGATATTGAACAGGTCAGGGTTCCTGCCCTCACATGAGACAGGCTTGCACATCAGTTATTTCTGATACCAGGTATTATGGAAATGCAGCGAAGGGACATATAAAAAGGGAGATGGCTTGGCAGAACAGAGGATGTGTGCTGTTTTGTCACGTACTCAGTTGCTCAGTTGTGTCCAGCTCTTTGCGGCCCCCTGGACTGTGGCCCGCCAGGCTCCTCTGCCCGTGGAATACCGGCGTGGGTTGCCATGCCCTCTTCCAGGGGATCTTTCCCATCCAGGGACCAAACATGTGTCTCTTGCATCTCCTGCATTGGCAGGTGGGTTCATGGTTTGGCAGAACAGAGGATCATTCTCATGAACATGACTCATTTGTGGATTGCACTCTGTTGTGGGACTTAATGGAATCATAGATTTGTCCAACAGGTATTTTTTTTCTTCCTGGTATTTTCCTTTCTCTTGGAAAATATAAAATCATAAGCCATTGATTTAAGAATATGTAATTACTGTTAATTTTCCCATTAAGCATCTTTATGTTTAACTGTTACCTTTCAGTTTTTAAAATTAGATCTTCGGGTTGGAGAGGCTTTACATAGGACAGAAGCTAAGTAGAAATAATTAGGTAGCTCCTGTTGTTTGAGAGAGGGAAGCAAAATCACCCCCCAGAGGTGTGTGTTTATTCATACTTTCATTTAACAAATATTTAAGAAAATACCTTCTATGTAGAAAAAACATTTAATTCCAAAATAATTTCTCAAGAGGCTTTTAGTTAGGGAATTCTGAAGAATATAAAGGATAATAAATACTATTCACCGAAAATTTACAAATGAAAAACTGATCATGTGTTTTTTGTTTTCTTTCTTTCAGGGCAAGTTAAAGTGTTTAGAGCTCTTTATACGTTTGAACCCAGAACTGTAAGTATATTGGTCCCAATACTGACATAAAGGGATTTTCCCTGGTGGTCCAGTGGTTAAGACTCTGTACTTTCACTGCAGGGGACACAAGTTTGATCCCTAGTCAGGGAATCCTGCATGCCACAGGGTGTGACCCTGAAGGTGATTTCATTTAGATACTTCTGTCCTCTGCTCCTTCCTCTTGGTGGATTATTCCAGTCGAAATATGGTGCATAGTAGAACTCACTTCTGACCTCTTTATAGACCTATGGCTCTGCATCCCTATAAACTCTGATTACACCCTTCCTCTTCCATAAAGACTTTCTGATCATCCCCCAGTGGAGTGGGATGTCTCTCGCTGCTCTGAATTCTACGCTTGGCTTGAAATCCTGCTCACCAGGACAGTGTCTAGGGTGGAGAACACAGGGGTTTCAAGCTGCCAGTAGCTTTAGGACCCAGTCTGCCTCTTTTAACAGCTGTGTGACTTGTTAAATTCAGAAATTACCTAACTCCTGTGCCTCTGTGTACTCTTCTGTAAAGTGAAAGTAATAATAATAATTTCATAGGATTTTAGTGAGAATTAAGTGAGATTATTGTGTAAAGCTGCTATTACTATTAAGCAGTCATTGTTACTATTAGAAGAAGTAGTGATTTCTATATTCACAGACTCTGGTTGTTTAGTCACTAAGTCGTGTCCACCTCTTTGTGACCCCATAGACTGCAGCACGCCAGGCTTCTCTGTCCTTCAGTATTCCTCGAGTTTGCTCAACCTCATATCCATTGAATTGGTGATGCCATCCAACCATATCATTCTCTGTCTCCCCCTTCTTCTCTTGCCCTCAATCTTTCCCAGCATCAGGGTCTTTTCCAATGAGTCAGCTCTTCACATCAGGTAGCCAAAGTATTGGAGCTTCAGCTTCAGCATCAGTCCTTCTAATGAATATTCAGGGTTGATTTTCTTTAGGATAGACTGGTTTGATTTCCTTTCTGTCCAAGGGACTCTCAAGAGTCTTCTTCAGCCCCACAGTTTGAAAAAAGCATCAATTCTTTGGCACTCAGCCTTCTTTATGGTCCAACTCTCCAACTCTCTTAACACATATTTTTGATTGGTTGAAACATTGATTACTTTAATTCAACTCCAGTTCTACTCCAAGATGGAACCTCTGCAGCTGTTTAAAAATCTTAGTTATTATCAAATGCACAGGAGAAAATCGACATTTAATTCATTGCATGCTAAGTCGTGTCCAATTCTATGCGACCTTATGGACCATAACCTGCCAGGTTCCTCTGTCCATGGGGATTCTCCAGGCAAGAATACTAGAATGGGTTGCCATGCCCTCCTCCAGGGGATCCTCCCAACCCAGGGTTCGAACTTGCATCACTTTCATCTTTTGCATTGGCAAGTGGGTTCTTTACCACTAGTGCCACATGGGAAACCCATTTTAATTCATTAGGGTCTTTGTTTTTGGCCACACCACACACCTTACTGAACTTCCCCAACCAGGGATTGAACATGTGCCCCCTTCGTTGAAAGTGTGGAGTCTTAGCCACTGGACCACCAAGAAAGTCCCTAACTCATTAGGTTCTATGCATATTCCGTATTTAACAAGCTATTTTTAATATCCATGGTCCCGAGGATCCTGGGCTATAGAGCAGTGCTGCTAATTCATTCTGTATGCACTAGATGGTCATTAATGACTACCCCATGCCCTGCTGGCCCCACACTCTGCTCCTCTCCGTTTCCCCTCAATCCGGATGTTAGTGGGGAGGCATCTGGCTGAGCAGGTAGCCCCTAGGTCTTAGGGGGTCTTCCTGACTACTTAAGTGCCCGTGCTTTACCAGTTGTTCAGTGTTTTGAACATCATCCCAGAACTAGGTTAGTCTTATATTTGTTTTCTGAATGAGAATTTCTGTTGGACAAACTCAGTTTGGTCTCTCTCCCCTGAGACCAAGTAGCTGTCTTCTCTAGTGGGATCAGTATACCCCCAGTACATCCTAAACTCACCAAGCAAGTTGGAAGGGCTGAGCTGTGAGACCATTGCTCACATGTGCAGCACCCCAGGAAGACCTGGGCCCAGTTTTTTGCTATTGTACTACTCTCAGGAGTAGGCACAGAAATGCCCAACTTTCTTGATGAGCCACTGAACAAGTAGGACACTGGAAGCCTGTCGCTCCTGGTTCTTCTGGCCAATCTATTTCTTCTCTGTCTTGCTCGAAGGTAAGGTAGTCCTGGCACTACCAGCCTTGTTTGGCTCTCATTTCTTGCCCAACCCTCAGTCTAATCAACCGCCATATAGAGGTCCTGCAAGACTGGATAGACCAGTGTAAAGTTGCACTGATGCAGAGAGAGCAGAGTTTCCTGTGTGCTGGATTTGTGTTGGTTTCTGCAAGGAAACCAGTAGGACCCACCTCTATCATATAGTGCTTGCTGGGCTTCTCTAGGTTTACAGCACTATCTGTAGTGGAAGGAGCCCTAGAATGGGATTCCAAAAGCTAAAGTAGGAGTCCAGTCCTACCGCTCACACACTGTGTGATTTGTGGCAAGTTCTTGAACCTCTCGGAGCCTGGTTGTGAGATGGAGATTATACCCATGACCCAGCCCTGCCTTAATGGATTGTTGTAAGGATCAGATGAGATTAAGTATGCTTTGCAAGTATATGGTACTGCTGTTGGCTTTGCTGTATTGCATTATATTGGGGTAGGGTAGGGAGAAACAAGAGATAATTTCCACAGCCATTGCCTTTTATCCTGGTTATGACACCATGGCAACCAGTAATGGCTATGCAAGACGCTCCGGTATGATGGAAAGCAGAGGTGGCAATGAAGGACAGGGACTCCAGGATCTGCCTGTCATGGTTCCAGTTCAGTGTCTGCTATGTGTCTGATGTATGGTCTTGGACAAGCTTCTTAGTTCTGATGTGATGATAAGAATAGCACCCACTTCACAGTGTTACTGGTGAGATTATAAGAGTCCAGATCTGTGCCTGGCACATGGTAGTACTATAAAGTGCTAAATGAAAGCATCTGTAGTGAATTTGATTTTTTTTTCTTTTATTAATTCCCTTGGCTCCAGATTGACAAAAGTGAAAAATTTCAAAAAGATGTCATAGTCTTTCCAAAAATTTTCATAAAATATATATTTGCATAAACCAAGAAAATTAATGCCCTGAGAATTATATGTTACCAAGAATATATGGAAGAGGAACAAGGATATACATTACGAAGTTTGTACTCATCTCCATAACATCCCAGTGGCCAACGAGTAACTTGTTCTAATACCTTGTGGTTTTTCAAGGAGAGAGGAAAAAAAGAGTATGGTTAAAAAGCAAAGAACAAACTGGAAACAGAGAAGTGCTTACTTGGTTGTGTCACTCTTTTCCCATCATGTTCCGTGAATATGATGCCAGGGATTTAAAAGTAGATCCTCATTGAACAGTTTACATTAAGTGTCCCACAAGTGGTTTCTTAATGGAAAATATGAATATTGGAGATGAAAATCCAACTTTTAAAACCATGAAATTGCCTTGTTGTCTGTACTGCCAGCAGTCTGAAGAATTTGATGGAGTGCCTCCTCAGGTCAGTTAGGAAAAACTGCTCCTGGTTTCTGTGCAAGAAGATATTTTAGTCTTACTGAAGAGTAGTATTTGTGTGTCTGGGAGCTATTGATTAAAAAGAAAATAAACCATCCATTCTCTTTTATCTGGATGAAAAATAGCAAGACTTTTTTTACCTGACTGAAATCGACTGCCTGTTGTTGCTGCCTTAGTTGGAAAACAAGTCTGATCTAATACATGGCTGAGGCAGACACTGCTACTGAACGGCATTCACTAATTTACAATCTGAAATAGCGCTGAGAAGTTTTGAAATGGCTGTACTTGGTGACATTTTTCAAATCATGCATTTTACCAAACCATGAATGACAATAATTATTTGAGACCATACAATTTAAAATATTGAGGTAAAATTCACATACAATTAAGCACTTTAAAATAAACAATTCAGTGACCTATAGGCACAATGTTGGGGAGCTGTCACCTCTGTCTAGTTCCAAAATATTTTCGTTACCCCCAAGGAAAACCCTGTACCCATTAAATGCTTACCTCCCACTCTTCTAGGCTTTATTCCTTTTTATGATGAAGACTAATTACAGGGACGTGTGTGTGTGTGTGTGTGTGTGTGTGTGTGTCTGTGTGTCTGTATGTCTGTGTGACTGTGTATTCTTTGTTTCTTTTTAAGTCATTTGGTTCTTTCTTAACATGTGTCATTTGTTTCAAGGGTGAATGATCTTATTAAGTGTGGAAATTTAGGCAAACTTGACCTTTGTGATTTTAGAAGGTCAGAACTGTCAGTAGAGATGACTCTGTCACTTAAACATAAGCACTGATTGAGGAGGATTCATTATTAGACATAAGTGGGCAAGGTTAACTTCTATTCAAGACATTGAAGTCTTTCAAAACTTGTAGAAACTCAGAGTTACTCCAAAAAAAAATGCAGTTTTCACATATGCCCTGTTTTCTTTACTTCCTTATATTCTGCTTTTTTCTCTCCTCCCAGAAAGATAAAGACCATTACAGTATACTAACAAATATATATGGAATTTAGAAAGATGGTAATGATAACTCTATATGCAAAACAGAAAAAGAGACACAGATGTACAGAACAGACTTTTGGACTCAGTGGGAGAAGGCGAGGGTGGGATGTTTCGAGAGAACAGAATCGAAATATGTATGTTATCTATGGTGAAACAGATCACCAGCCCAGGTTGGATGCATGAGACGAGTGCTTGGGCCTGGTGCACTGGGAAGACCCAGAGGGATCGGGTGGAGAGGGAGGTGGGAGGGGGGACCGGGATGGGGAATACATGTAAATCCATGGCTGATTCATGTCAATGTATGACAAAAACCACTACAATATTGTAAAGTAACTAGCCTCCAATTAATAAAAATAAATGAAAAAAAAAAAGAATCATCTAAAGGAGAGAGAATCTATTTAGATCGCCAGCGAAGGCCAACCTTATTGTCGTAGGGGTGGCCGCTGTGTCCTGCATGGGATTCTGTGGTGGAAAGTGAGTTCCCTTTCTGGCCTCTGATAAGTAAGTGAGTTTGCAGCAGGGAACTCCTAAAGTAAATAGTTTGTTTCTCTGATTACTTATTATTTCTATCCCACATTGGTTGTAATATTGATCATAAATCATCAGAGCATTTTAGAGAAAGATTAGAGAAAGTCTTAGAAGGCTTTACTCTTTTTCTTCTAAATGCCTATTTGCAGTAATTTTAAAATGTTTGTCATTGATCTACATAGTTTCAACGGATTTTGCATAGATATACTGTGTGTAAGTCTAGTCTCTGCAGATCGAAGTGTAAATTCAACAAATGTTTCAGGAAGTGCTTTCTAGAGGAATTCAGACATTTCTTGGTTACCTTAATTGTTTGCTATGTTTTATATATGAATGCACATTGCATCTAAATATTTATGAATTGTGGTTGCTTAAAGCATGATACACTATTCATTTATATTCAGGGAAAATAATAATAAAGATTGTCTCTGAAACTAACTAAACTACTGGTGCAGAGTCACATTTATTGCCCAGGTCTGCAGCTAAGAGAGGAGATAAACAAAAGGAAAATGAAAGAGTGAAATAAAATTCATTTCACTAGTATAATTGTTATTTGTATGGAATAGTAACCACAATCAGAAATATCAAAGCCTTTTAAAAATATTTTTCACACCAAAATTATGAAAGTAGTGCATGCTGATGATAGAATTTTATGCATAATTTTGATCTTATCCTGTGTGAAATGTGGTGCCCTACATTTTTCACTCAATATGGTAATGTAAACATTTCTCAATATATGAAACTTGCTCTCAATAGGTATTATATTGTGTGTGTGTGTGTATAATTTTTTTGGGGGGGTTGTGTGGCTTGCAGGATCTTAGTTCCCTGACCAGGGATTGAACCTGGGCCATGGCAATGAAAGCTCTGAGTCCTAACCACTGGACGACCAGGGAGCTCCCTCAGTTCAGTTCAGTCGCTTAGTCATGTCTGACTCTTTGCGACCCCATGAATCGCAGCACGCCAGGCCTCCCTGTCCATCACCAGCTCCCGGAGTCTACCCAAACCCATGCCCATTGAGTCGGTGATGCCATCCAGCCATCTCATCCTCTGTCGTCCTCTTCTCCTCCTGCCCCCAATCCCTCCCAGCATCAGGGTCTTTTCCAATGAGTCAGCTCTTCGCATGAGGTGGCCAAAGTACTGGAGTTTCAGCTTCAGCATTAGTCCTTCCAGTGAACACCCAGGGCTGATCTCCTTTAGGATGGACTGGTTGGATCTCCTTGCAGTCCAAGGGACTCTCAAGAGGCTTCTCCAACACCATAGTTCAAAAGCATTAAGTTTTCGGCGCTCAGCTTTCTTCACAGTCCAACTCTCCCTAGGCATCATTTAATTTAATAAAGTTATGCTGATAAACGGTATCTATTGATGGGAAAAACAAGATGTTTAATCAAAGTGCTTGGCTTCATTCAAAGAGTTTGGTTGGTCCAAAAGCACATTTTGTCCATGTAATCAATTAACCCCTTAGAACTGTTTATGGTTCAGACTAGGTTACTGCTTCATATCTTTGAGCTCTTTAGCCTTTAATTGAATTATGTATTAATTGTTCTCATATATGAGATGTTCATTCTTTCTGAGCATGAAGAGATAAGGTAATGGTTTTCTCAAAATAAATAAATAGTGATGTTGATATGAAATGTTTAGATTTGAAGCCTAATCATTTAGGAGAGAGCCAAACTTCTAGCTGTTTTTCATGGTTTTGATTCTAGACATTGATCCTTTTATAAAAATATATATATCACCTTTTGAAATTTTTACAATGAGGAACTTTTATTAATAATCCTGTTTTGGCCTAAAAGCAACTTTCTTTTATTGTGGAGGAAAATAAGATGGTGTATGTGGAGCTGGGAATTCTTGTTATATTAATTCTTTGAAGCTTCTCATGGGAAGATTCACCTTCTTATACCTGTGTTAGTTTGTCAATAATGTTTTGTTATATGGTTTATGTGCAGATTTAAGTGTGTAAAATCTATGCTGTCTATAGGGATATTTTAGGACTTGGAATTTGTGTAATTATTTTCATGATTGTGTTCTAATTCATGAAAAAAATCGCATGGAGTAAAACTTAAAATTTTTTTTTCTTTAGCCCGATGAATTGTATTTTGAAGAAGGTGATATTATCTACATTACTGACATGGTAAGCCCAGTTAATATTTTTTCATACTGTGCATGAACTAAAGATATATGACTGTTTTTCAGTACTTTATTTACATGTATAGCTATATAGAAATACATACACACAAGTCAATTCACTTAACACAGTTTGTTAATAGCATAAGATTGGAAGTAACCCTTATGTCCATCAGTAGGAAAATAGTTGAATGAACTTTGCTGTATATACAAAGAAAGTATTATTCAGCTATAAAAAGGAGTGAGGAATATCTCTATATAATATTATGGGGTAATTTAAGTGAAAAACAGCAAGGTGAAAAAATTGTGGATAGTGTGCCTTTTCTTATCTAAGAAAGGATGAGAGGATATACGTATACTTATTTTCCTCAATTTAAAATAAAAAGTCAAAGGAAGAGTTATACATTTTTAAAAAGTAGTTTCCTCTCTGAAAGGAAAGGGAAATAGAATAGAGGAAATATATAGACGGAACAGAGACTTTAAAAAAAATTATACCTTGTTTTGGAGAGCACACTTTGGAATCATGTAAAACTTTTGTGTAGTTATAAAATTAAATGATAAAAAGCAGTACCTGGAAATGAAAAGCAGAATGAATCAAATGAACTTAGTTGTATCCCAGAGAGGTACAACACATGGAAAGGAACTATTCCAAGTGACTTTAAAACTCAGCATTTTGACTGAATATCTCTAGTCAAATAATATAAGGAACAGAGAGAACTGCCACCCCCACATTATAAACTGTTTTTAATCATGATGTTGTTGGAGAAGGGTTGGTATTGTTATTCTGAGATTGCTGCATGCGTGTTGCAGTTTAGAGCAAATGAGTCAGTAGGTCAGTGATGTAGAAAACTGGGAATTTCAGCCTGCAAGAAAGAGTAAACATATATATAAGATCAGTGAAGTTAAGTAGCTCTACATTTGAATTGAAAGTGTGTTGCTTTTTACATAAAATAAACAAAAATATTTCTTAATCTGTCCTTTGGGTAGGCCAAAAAAAAAAGACCATCCCAATAATAATATATTTCCCGTTGAAAGGAAATAAGTTATTTTGAAAAATGTCTGGTACTAGGTTGAGAGCAGCAGAGGTACAAGATAAGCCCAGGACATCTTCCTCTTAGAAAGCAAGGAAGCCACCAAAGACTATGAGGGTCACACTGCAAAAACACTGGAGCTAAATAGAAGAGGCTGCCACTAGTCAAAGATAGGACAATTTGAGCAATTAGGGCAACAGTCCCAAGGATTGAAATACATCTACTCTGTTTAAATTCATGAGCTCCTAATGGTACTTAAAAATAAAACTAAACATCATTGGTCAACCTGAGAGAATGCTAGGGAACCAACTTTTTATTCTGGCAACTGTTAAGGAAAAGAATCAGTATTTCTTCTGCCTTTTCTTTATGAACTTTATCTCTGGGTCACGTGAGAGTTGATGAGGAAGTTTATCTTTAAAGTAATATTCTTGTTATAAGGGCTTCCCTGGTGGCTCAGCAGTAAAGAATCCACCTGCAAGGCAGGAGACACAGGTTCAATTCCCGGGAAGATCCCCTGGAAATAGCAACCCACTCCAGTGTTCATGCCGTTGTTGTTTCCTTCTCCAATGCATGAAAGTGAAAAGTGAAAGTGAAGTCGCTCAGTTGTGTCCAACTCTGTGACGGCAGCCTACCAGGCTCCTCCGTCCATGGGATTTTCCAAGCAAGAGTACTGGAGTGGGTTGCCATTGCCTTCTGCGTGCTGAAGTTGAATCTGAATCTAATTAAGCCTTTAGAACTAATGAACAATTTATAAACAATACGGGGAACAAAGGAACACATTTTTTTTTTATAACAAGGGACACAACATGCAAAATCCAGACTATTTGAAACTCTTTAGAGCAAACTATTTTCTTCAACAAGTATATTGTGAAGGAGTGAAAAAAAAAAATGTGAAGGGGGAAAATATAGACTAAAAGAGACTTAAGAGGCAAATCATCCAGTCATATTGTGTGGCCTTTATTATGAGACATATCAGAAAATTTGAATATTGTACATATATGATGATAGTAAGAAATTGTAGAAAAAAAACTCTAAGCTGTGATAATGGTATTATCGTTATGTCTTTGAGAAAGTCCTTATCTTTCATAGATTCATATTGAAATATTTACAGATAAAGAATATGATGTCTAGAATTTATTTCAGAATAATCTGAAGGGGAGGGAAGTTGTAAGTGAGGTAATACATGAAACAGTATTGGCTATGAGTAAATAATTCATGCAGTTAAGAAATGGGTATGTGTAGGTTCCTTATATGATTCCTTCTACTTTGGTACAGATTTGCATTTTTTTTTAATGATTAAAAAGTCACCAAAAAAAAAAGTGAAATAAATAGATCTTTAGAAAATCAAATATATGTATATCTTGAGACTAAGAAATTAGGCTTTGGGCAAAAAAAAATCCCAAGGCTAGTCTAAACTAAGTATAATTGTTTCAATTCTCTTTCATGTTATCTCTGTGTGATTTGTTGGAACATTGGAACTCTTTGATGAAGTGTATTTGATTTGTTGCAGGCAGATGTGTGTATATTAGTAATTTAGTGATAAGGGGAATGGATAACCATAAGTAGGGAAACAGGAAGCTTGATCAATGTGACCAGGGCTGATGAACATTTGGTAAAGCAATAACTCCACATTTGAATTGGAAGGATGCATTTTATCTAAAATAAGACAAAAACATCTCTTGCTCTAGCCTTTGAAAAGGCTAAAATGACACCAGCACGAACCGCATGGTTTTAATTGAATGTGAACTGGATTTGGTGCCACTTAATTTAACTCTTCTTTCACCAGAGTGACAGCAATTGGTGGAAGGGTACCTGCAAAGGCAGGACTGGACTGATCCCAAGCAACTATGGTAAGACGGCTGCAGTGGCCTTACTTGGGCTGTATTCTGTGCATTCTCCATTATCTGGTTCCTGAGGCCTTTCTTCTTTCTCCTGTGGCTGAGAAATTGATGGAGTCCTTGCTAGTCTGGGACATTTTCTACCTGAGCCTTCCCTTAATAGAGTGGTCATGGACCCTGGAGGTACTTGAACTTGACTCTGGCTTAAGAAAATGCCCATTGTAACATTCTTGAAAGAACTTAAGGTTTCCAGGGAAATGCTTTTGGCTTTACTTTACTCAAGGTTAGAACATTTTTCTTTTTCTTTGCTTTCTCTTTTGTTTTTTAGACTAGCCCTTTCTTTAGTAAGTAGCCTTGCCTTGTTATGTTAATTAATGTCTGGGGCAGTGATGTTCATTAAATGAATAATAGCGCAGTGAAACGTGGGTCCTGCTATGAAGCCACTTCAGTTGCAAGGGGGACAAAGCAGACTTCCATAGAAATCTGCCAAGTAGCAAGTACACACAAATTGATAAACCAAGGGTCCCGGTTTTTAATTCTTCTTCGAACAATGAGGGACCTTACTTAAGGGACTTAACTGGTGCCCCGGGACCATTTCTCCATCTGTATCATGAGACGTCTGATTCAAATCACTTCTAAGGTTCCTTTGGACATTGTAATTAGATACATCCTCAGACCAATAGTGCTTGCATCAGGCACTAGTTCCAAACACTGTAAGGTGACTTACAAAATTTCTAGGAAGCACTTCACAGTTCCTAGGGGAGGGGAGGGGAGAGGGGGAGAGGGGAAGGTTGCAAAGGAGAGGAGGGGAGGGGAGGAGATGGAAGGGGGAAGGGAAATGAGTGAGGCTAAGGCCCTTCACACAGGGGCCTCACTTACCTGGTCTAAGGGCCATACCATTCTGGATTTTAAAAGGCTTTAAACATTTCTACACTCCTCTTGGAAATCCCAAATAAACAACTTCTGTGCACTCCCTTCCCAGCTGCTCAGAGACACGGAGGGTGCAATATGTTCCTCAGTTGCTAGATCCTTGGTAGGCAAGGGAGTGTCCAGTTACAGCCATCTGGTGGGAGGGGTGCCTCTGAAGTCTCATTTGAGCAACAGTCTTCATGTGGTCACTCCTGCTGATTCTGGGACAGCAGTGAACACACCTTTCTTAGAGGCAGGTAGGCGTGCTGATTGCCCTTTTTGAATACAGAAAGCAAAATATTTCTCCTTTACCCCACCCGTCTTATGCATGCATACAAGGGAAACAATTATTTTCAGCCGTCTTCAAAGCAGGGTGTTTTTAAAGAATGTAAAAATGAACCTCGAATGCTTCCTTTTGCAGTTTCCTGACTGAATTTCTTGTTGAAATATTTGAGCAAGCTAGTATGCAGGCCTTGGGTCTATGTGTTTTTATTTATTGTTGTTGTTCAGTTGTCCAGTGGTGTCCAACTCTGCGACCCCATGGACTGCAGCCCACCAGGCCTGCCTGTCCCTCACCATCTCCTGGAGTTTGCACGAGTTCATGTCCGTTGTTTTTATCTATACTTCCAATTAATTGCTGCACTTATTTCTGTTTATACTCCCAGTTGATTGTTGTGTTATTGTCTTGGTTTCTTTTGAAAGCACAAAACATCACTTTGATTTTCTGCCATGTTTAAAATCCACAGTAAGTCAGGGTTGCTGTATGAGGGAAGGTCCTGGCATTTCTGAAGCTTGGGTACTCAGCTGGCTTCATGGGATCCTTTGGGTGGCCTTCTCAGCATCGATTTGCACTTTTTCTTTTCAATCTAGTGGCCGAGCAGGCAGAATCCATTGACAACCCATTGCATGAAGCTGCAAAAAGAGGTAGGTATGATTCTTTTCGATTGAGATAAACAGTACAGTAAAACACACAGATAATAATTATATAGTTTGATGACTTTTGATAAATGTATACACCCGTGTAACTAACACCCAGGTCAAGATCCGGAACATTTGCATTATCCCAGAAAGTTCCTTTCCCAGTTAAATCCTTGCCTCCCACAAAGGCAGTCTCCATTCTGCCTTCTTTCACTCTACAGAAATGTGGGATTTTAATTTTTAACATGTCAACAAATACTTTGGAGCCCCTTACCTGCTCTGTGCTTAGTGACAAGTGAAAGGCATGGTCTGTGACTTTCAGAGCTTTGAATCTGGCGGGGAGAGGTGTGTGTAGCACATCTTTACAAGACATTGTGATAAGGACACTGGTTGAAGTGTGGGTCAGTTAAACAGGCTATAGAGGCCAGAGTGAGTAACTGGCCTCACTCTGGGCAGAGGGTTGGGACTTCTCAGGGGTCCAGGCTCTGGGAGAGTGTTGGTGTAGGGCTGGTATGTATGGGAGGATGGACTTGGGGAGGAAGGGAGCACCAGAGATGGGATTTGTATTGGGCTGGCCAAAAAGTGTTTGGATTTTTTCTGTAAGATGTTATAGAGTACATGGGACTTGATCCTGTTGATCAGCGGTTCTCCACTGAAGAGTAATTCCTCTCTCCAGACTTCGGGACATTTGGCAATATCTGGAGGGATGCTGGCACCTTTTGGGTACAGGCTGGGGGTGTCACTCGGCACCCTGCAGTGCAAAATACTGCTCCCGTAACAGAGAATCCTCCAGGCCAAATGTCAGCTGGACCACTGTTGAGAACCCTGCCCTAGATAATGGGGAGTTTTTGTCAGGCTACAGTAAGCTCCCATTTAATTTAGGTTTTCTTGAAATCTGAATATATGAAAGGAAATTATTGGTTTAGGATTATGCAGAAATAGAACCACTAAATTGACATTTAAAATTTTCTAGATATTAAAAAAAAATTTTTTTAAGGTAGATATTTAGGGCATTTAGCCAGAGGATTTTAAATTAATAGCTATACTTTAGCATAAAGAACAGCACTTTGAGTAGTTATTTAGTTTTTATGTTCTTGTAGGAACTGAAAGTGTGTTTTAAATATGAATATGAGTAGTGTCTGCTTGTTCTTAGGTTTGATTGTTTTTTTTTCCCCCTCAAAGTTTTAGGATTCACAAAGGAAAAACATTTTTTTCTACAGTGTAAAAATACCTTAGGTAGACCCATTTTAGCAACTGTTCCCATTAACCTACCATTAAAAATTGATGTTAATGCCTTCCATTAGTAAATTGGAAGTCAAGATGTACCATAGAGAATGCATTACAAGGGCAGGTTTTAATTTCAGACTTGCTGACTAATCCTTTGCAAATACAAATTTATGCAGGATGAAATTGATTTAAAAGCAAAACAAAACAAAACAATGAAAAAAATTTTCATGTGTTTTTCTAATTCTAAAACATTTTCAGGCAACTTGAGCTGGTTGAGAGAGTGTTTGGACAACCGAGTGGGTGTTAACGGTTTGGACAAAGCTGGAAGCACTGCCCTCTACTGGGCTTGTCACGGGGGTCACAAAGGTATTATTACATTTTGTTTGTTACCGTAAATGTCTTTGCACTGAAAATGTGCTTCATCGAGGGGAGCCAGAGTTACAGAAATGAGAGAGAAAAATTGGTTATTCTTTTTAGATTCTTCAGAACATCAGCCTTTTAAAAGTCCAGTTCCTGAAAGTTCTGTAAAACTGTAGCTGGAATGTGACTGGTCAGCCTCACTGTGGGCACCTTTTCACTTAAAAGAGTGGAAGCTTCCTTTCCTCTCTCAGGCTTGGAAGAGCAACAGGAAAGCAACAGTAATATAAAAACAGAGCCCACTGTCTAACCTCATGGAAGCAAGGGCCACAGTTGACTCCTCTAGCTTAGTTTATCCTCCACAGCTTTTATGATTTACGTTCTAAGTTTAAGATTTAAGAGAAAGACAGTATTTGCTTGAGTTGGTGATTCAGTTGATAACTTTCTCTCTTATAATCAATAATAATGACAGATGGAATTTCTAGATGTATTTCAGCCTGGCTGAGAATCTACCACAACCCACTCTCTTGCTCCCTCTCTCTACAACACACAGAAAATAATCCCAATAGTAACGGGAAACAAAGAATCCAAGAAGTTAAATAGCACGGCCAAAGGAAAATATAAGCACAAATTAGTGATAAGAGTGTTAAGTACCCCAGCAAATGTAAAAATATTCCTATCATAGATATCATGTGAAAATGCAAAAGCCAAAATATTTGAAAAAAAATTTCCCTAAATAATTCTATTTTTTGGAGTCTTAAGTCTTCTATTTACATAAATGTTGAAAAATTTGTTATAAGGAGTTTTTTAAAGATTCTTCTAAAAAAGAATCCTTTTAAAATTATTATGCAGAGTCTTATCAGGCTTTTATTCCCATTCTTTAAAAAAGATTATTTCTATTTGAATTTCAGATATAGTGGAAATGCTGTTTACTCAACCAAACATTGAACTGAACCAACAGGTGAGTTTGCTTACGCAGAAATCATTTAACCCACCTGCCTTGCTCTCAAAGTACAGATTATAGGTGTGTAAAATCCTGTCTTGAGGTCTTGGAACTCAACTTTTCCCATTTATTATCTTCCATAAAACTTTTAATCTAAATACTTCAAGCACATAGTTAAAAGTTATTTTTGCATTGAAGTGCAAACTGTATAAAGCTCAAAATACCTGCTATGTTCCTCCTTGTGTATCACTTTAAGCTTTTAGTGCTTTCCTCTTATCTTCACATTACTGAGAAATATGTTTGTGGAGCTGTCTCATAATTCACCATCTTCATAAGTGTTTTGGCATCCTATCTGGTAGGTAGCAATTCATGCTTGTCAACAGCCTGTCATCTTCCACCACCCAACTTCCAATCTTTCCTCCTTTGGTTCTCCTAATATATCATATCATAATTTTTGGTTATATTACTATGTAATGCTCATGGTATTATGGCTGTTTCAATATTGTCGCTGTTTATATCATTTCTTTTGTTTCTGTATTTATAGCCTTTTATTTAGGACTTTATTTTTTGAAGTCCTTTGTCTTTTGACAAAGACCTCTACACTGTTTTATACTCTCTCAATATACTTTTCTAAAATGTATTTGATAGTTGCTTTCTTGTTTTTCTTCCTGGAGTCACACTGAAGGCCTCCATCTTCATTCTCTGATTGGAGCAGCTTGATCTCGACTGCTCTTTGATGTCTTCCTGGGAAACCCTTCACCGCCCTCCTGCGTTGTGTCCTCACTTTTCTGAATCTTGTGTCTTCCATTAGTTGAAGAACACGTTCAATAGATTCCTGAGAAAGGGGAGCTTGGGCTTGATTATTTGGCTGATAGAATCTGGGTTGAGTTGCTCTGTATTTTTGAGCATGTACAGTAATAATTCAGCAGACTTTTTCAGCCACCGACTGCCCCACTGTTTGGCCTGAGCACACCTGCCAACTCCACCATGGTGACGACAGAGTGGCCCAGGTTGCTTCTGTAAAGCAACATTCTTCCCCTGCTTGGTGGCTTTTTGGATATGCATGCCCTTGGTGGCCTGGGCAGTTTCACGAGTGTTCTGAAAGTGAACATGAAGATCGGAACCTCTTGATTTGCATGACTTCTGGGTTTTTCCGGGTTTTCCCGGTTTTTCCGGCTCAGGTGAATAGCGAACCATTTTTAGAGGTTACTGCAGGCTGCTTACCAGTTAAGCATTTATATACATATTTTAAAACATTTCCTGCTATTCACCATACTGTATCTTTTCCCTCTGAGATCTGTTAGTTTTGTTTTGATCTTTCTTCAAGTACAGGACACAAATACATAGTGCCTCAGATACACAGCGCCTTTGTCCATTCATGTTTGGGTGTGACTAGAAGCTCTGTGTGCTTGTGGGGCTTACTGACTGGTGGGTTTCTCTGTAGGGTGAAGGGTGAGGTCCTCACTGTTTTTCTGGCTTATGCCCAGATGCCAGCTAAAACAGTTACTTCCTCCTCTCTGTTGGGGCTGTTCAGCTCTATCAGAGCAGCATTCTCCAGCCTCCCTCCTGGGGGTAGATGCTAGACTGTACACACTGGAGCTGTGTGTGTGTGTGTGAACACACTGGGGCAGTGGGGTGTGTGTATGTGTGTATGTACAAACTGGGGCAGTGTGTGTGTGTGTGTGTGTGTACACACCAGGGCAGTGGGGTATGTGTGTGTGTGTATGTACAAACTGGGGCAGTGGGGTGTGTGTGTGTGTGTGTGTACACACACCAGGGCAGTGGGGTGTGTGTGTGTATGTACAAACTGGGGCAGTGGTGTGTGTGTGTGTGTGTGTGTGTGTGTGTGTATGTACAAACTGGGGCAGTGGGGTGTGTGTGTGTGTATGTATGTACAAACTGGGGCAGTGGGGTGTGTGTGTGTGTGTGTGTACACACCAGGGCAGTGGGGTGTGTGTGTGTGTGTATGTACAAACTGGGGCAGTGGGGTGTGTGTGTGTGTGTATGTACAAACTGGGGCAGTGGTGTGTGTGTGTGTGTGTGTGTGTGTACACACCAGGGCAGTGGGTTGTGTGTGTGTGTGTGTATGTACAAACTGGGGCAGTGGGGTGTGTGTGTACACACCAGGGCAGTGGGGTGTGTGTGTGTGTGTGTACACACCAGAGCAGTGGGGTATGTGTGTGTGTGTGTGTATGTACAAACTGGGGCAGTGGGGTGTGTGTGTGTGTGTGTGTATGTACAAACTGGGGCAGTGGGGGGGGTGTGTGTGTGTGTACACACCAGGGCAGTGGGTTATGTGTGTGTGTGTGTATGTACAAACTGGGGCAGTGGGGTGTGTGTGTGTGTGTGTACACACACCAGGGCAGTGGGGTGTGTGTGTGTACACACCAAGGCAGTGGGGTGTGTGTGTGTGTGTGTGTACACACCGGGGCAGTGGGGTGAGGGTCTGTGGGGTAGGCAAAGGCAGCTGGCAGTGGGGTCTTACTGCGCAGTGTGTCGGTTCTTCAGCTAGCCCCCTGCTTTTAATTCCTGGCCTTATTACCACCTTCTCTTATGCCTCCAAGTTCCATAAGCTTGGAAACTGTCTGGTTAACTTCAAAATATGGTAATTCTACCATCTGTGCTGGGTCATCTGTCAGCAAGGAGAGAGAAAGGTGATCTGGGGCTTGGGGGTTCTAATTACTCCGTAGAAACACTTGCACCCAGTACTCTTGGTTTCACTGCCATGCCTCCTTCCTGCTCCCGAGTCTCCAGTTTCTCATTCATGCTGGTTTCTCCGGGGACAGATCTGCTTGCTTCCCCCGGTATCTCCCGCTGTGAGCATCTGCATTCCCACGTGTGCTCTGCCAGGTCAGTTGCTCCTCCGCCATCGCATTCCCTCTCCCTGTGTGACTCATGGCTCATCTCTTAAGTCTCTTTTCCCTCTTTGGAATTTTATATCATTTTGTCACTTTGTTCTCATTTTAGATTTACTTAGGCTAGAGTAAACTTCAATTTGTGTATATTTGCAACCCTCAGTCTCTTTTTTAAAAATGCTGCTCTCTCTTATTGTCACCATAGAACAAGCTGGGAGACACAGCTTTGCATGCCGCTGCCTGGAAGGGTTATGCAGATATTGTCCAGTTGCTTCTGGCAAAAGGTGAAGTGCTTAGTTTATCTGATCTTGGATCACTCTGAAAATCAAGCTCCATCGAACTACACCATTTAAAAATAGTGGGGAAAATAATGGGCTTCTTATTTTACAGCGGGGATTTTGATCTCAGTCTGCATCATGGAGTTTTTCTGATAAGATGAAATTATTGAGGTGGTATCTGTTTTTCATTTTAAAGTTTGGTAAGCTTTAACATTATATATGTTACTTTTAGTAAGAATTTATTTTTCTGCAGGATTTAATCCTACATTTCTGCAGGATTAAAAGGACCTAGAAGGAAGGTGTGTGTGTGTGTGTGTTTACATACATGTGTGTGCACACATACAGAGGAGATCTCTCGAGAAAGCTATGTGGGTAAAGTTGCTGAGGCCCCAGGTTCTCAGAGGCAAGTCTTGATTAGATAAGAAAGGATGCTGTGGCATAGTGTCCTACTTTGAGCTGAGCAGGCGCTCAGTGTATGGCAAATGAGAAGATGCCCTGATTCCATGTTTTTACACAAGTCAGAAGGAACAGTGAAATAATGGACTCAACCATCTATTCATCTGTTTGTCCTACAAGCTTTAGTTAACCCTTATAAGGGGCCAGGGATATCACCACACACTGCACCCTGGTCTAGAAGGCTATAATATAGGATACTTGAGTTCCCAGCCTGCATGTCATGTGGATGTACTATCATTAGGGATCCTCGGAGCAATGTTGTGAGTTTTTGATTTGAAGTTTGTTGATGATGTAAACTCTAGGAATAAGAGATCAGACACCTTGATGACCTCTGTAGTACCCCTCAAAAGTATGCCAAGAGATGTGTTGTCTGTTATGGCAGTCACTAACCACACAGGCTACTGAGCTCTTGAGGTGAGGCTAGTCTCAATTGAGATGTGCTAGAAATGGAAAATGAACATCAGGTTTTGAAAACCTAGTGTGGAAAAAAAAGTGATGTATCAATAATTTTTATATTGGTTACATGATGAAGTGATAACATTTTGCATATACTGGGTTAAGTAAAATATGTTATTTAAATGAGTTTTATGTGTTGAAAATGCTGCCACTAGAAAAATTTAAATTACATCTATGGCTCACATAATTTTATGTTGGGCAGCACTGGTTGAAAATGGTTTTCTTCTCTGGCATCCTGTCTCTGAACATTTCCCATCCTGAGAGAAATCACGTATGTGAGTTCTCAAGTGTAAAGTAAGATAGGATTAATCACAGAACTATGAACCTGCAGGGTGTTTGACCTGTGGCACAGCGAGAGAATGAGGTTTTCCATATAACCCCAGCTGTGGATGGATCTCAGGCTCTTCACGAGAGATCTTTCACACACAATCACCATATTCCTAATTAAATGCACTTTCTCTCTCTTTTTCTTTTGTCTTTTTTTCCTGTTTTTTTTTTTCCTTTCTTGGCGATATTTTTGTGCATGTGAGTTTTAGCATATTTATTTTTTGTTTACCAAAGAGGATGTGGTTGTAGAGAAAATGGCACTCTCAAACACTGTGGCAGAAAGTGCAAATTGGTAAGCCTTCTTGGAAGGCAATCTGACAATAGCTAACAGAATGAAAACATACATATCCTTATGTTTCAACACTACTTCTAGAAAAACATCCTTCAGAAATACATAAAAGATGTATTTCAAGGAAGTTCATGGCAGTATTGTTGTGATAATGAATATTAGACTCTAAGTACCCCTCAGAGAGGAGTGGTTAAATAAACGTTGGAACATCCACAAAATGGATTAATTATCAGTGTTTAAATAGATTGAGTTATAATTATGTGTACTACTAAGGAACAAATAGCATGATATATTGTTAGGTTAAAAAAACCAAAACTAGTATGGCAGAGGCCAACACAATATTGTGAAGCAATATTCTCAAATCAAAAAAACATCAAAGATATTGGTTATGAGTGAGGAAAGGGAAGAGGGAAGGATAAAACAGAGCTAGGGGATTAAAAGGTACAAAGTACTGTGTATAATAATAACTATAAATGGAATATAACCTTTAACATTTGTGAATCACTATTGCATGACTGAAGCATATAGTATTATACATCAACCATACATCCGTTTTTTAAAATGGAAAATACCACTGGCAAAAAAAAAAAATGCATCAAATTACAGACCAATACCTGTAGTATGATTTTGTGTATGTGTCCACGAGTGTCTGTGAATGCACTCTTGCATGTAAGGGAGATGGGAACTGATGCCCACTTGTTGGGAATGGTCACCTGTTGTGGAAGGTAGAAGATGGGGAAGGAAGGGGTTAGTTGAGAGCTGAAATGAGACATAAGCTTTTGTTTAGCATATGTCTGTATTTCCAAATCTTTGACAATGAGAATATATTTGTGAATTTTGATGTAATTTATAATAAAGATGGGGGAAAAGTGAGTGGAAGATGGGCTATGCAAACAATGGATTGCCTCCAGATTTCAAGGTTTACTAATTCTGCTAATAATGTTTGAAAGTATACTTAAGATAAATATTAATCTCCTCAAGCTCAACTCACATCATCTTTTCTAAAGACCTTCTTGAACAAAAGAGGCAAAGGGTGTATTGCAAGGCACGTTGAGTCTAACTGATCTAGTGTTGTACATGGAGACTGTAAACTTCTCAGGGAAAATTTCATGTGCAGTTCTACAGGGACTTGAAAGGAAAGACTGTATTTCAATTGTATATAATTATTACAGGTGCAGCAGTAAGCTCCCTGATTAAAGATGCCAAATATGCTATTGCTGTTTCATGAAAGTTTTACTGAAAGAGCTTACTTCAGGGCCAAATGATTCTGTTGTTAGTTTTGCCAAAAGCAGTGTTTTGATGGAAAGAGGATTGGCTGCTCTATAACTAACATCATTACTGTTTGTTATATAAGAAAGTAAAGAGAGTAAATCCTAAGAGTTCTCATCACAAGGAAGACATTTTAAAATATTTTTTAAATATTGTATCTATATGGGATGACGGGTGTCCACTCAACTTGTGATAATCATTTCATGATGTTTGAAAGTCAAATCATTATGCTGTGTGCCATAGGCTTATAGTGTTGTGCGTCAATTATATCTCAGTATACCTTGAAGAAAAGAAAAAGAGGAAAAAGAAACTTAAAAAAGAAAAAAAATGATTGGCTGCTACTATAGAGTCTTCAAAACACCTAATTTCCTTTCTTGTGTTGGGGAAGGTGCTAGAACAGACTTAAGAAACAACGAGAAGAAGCTGGCCCTGGACATGGCTACTAATGCTGCCTGTGCCTCTCTCCTGAAAAAGAAACAGGGAACAGGTACTTGATTTTAATCCTTTTCCCTCATAATGCCGTCACAACTTAAGATTTTATCGATTCAATATTGGGGAAAGTTTTTTCTTGCTGAATTCTACAGGTGATCCTAGAGTTAGATTTTATATTCTTGGTCTGAATCAGAACCTCCAACATGGACAAATATATCTGCACCAACAAATTTGTAGAGACATTGATCTTTTGCTGTGATTAGTATGTTTCTTTTATTCCTTGCAATCAAGTTCTAATTACCTTGCTTTCTATTATATTTATATATATAAAGAAATATTTCTATTTCTTTTTATCAAAGAACCATTGTTTCCATACTCTTGTTTTAGATTATGTTTTTTTTTTTAGATTTTTTTAGATTTAGATTTTAGATTTTTTAATTGAAGGATAATTGCTTTACAGAATTTTTGGTTTTCTGTCATACATCAACAAGAATCAGCCATAGGTATACGCAGGTCCCGTCCCTCCCAGACCTCCCTCCCGTCTTTCTCCCCGCCCCACCCTTCAGCCTGTGGCAGAGCCCATCTCCCCCTCTCCCTCCTCTCCTCCCACCTTGTCCATAGGTCTGTTCTCTATGTCTGTTCCTCCATTGCTGCCCTGAAACTAAATCCATCAGTGCCATCTCTTCAGATTCCATATGTATGTGTCAGTATATGATATTTATATTTCTCTTTCTGACTTATTTCACTCTGTATAATGGGCTCTAGTTTCGTCCACCTCATTAAAACAGATTCAAATGCATTCTTTTTTTACAGCCGAGTAGTATTCCATTGTACCACACCTTCTTTATCCATTCATCTGGTCCATGTTCTAGCTATTGTAAATAGTGCTGCAGTGAACATTGGGGTACTTGTGTCTTTTTCAGTTTTGATTTACTCAGGGTGTATGTCTAGGAGTGGGATTATTGTGTCATATGGTGGTTTTATTCTTCACTTTTTAAGGAGTCTCCATACTGTCTTCCATAATGGTTGTATTAGTTTACATTCCCACCGGAAATGCAAGAGTGTTCCCTTTTCTCCACACCCTCTCCAGCATTTGTTGTTTATAGACTTTTTGATGATGGCCATTCTGACTGGTGTGAGGTGGTATCTCATTGTAGTTTTGATTTGCATTTCTCTAATAATGAGTGATGTTGAGCATCTTTTCATGTGCATAGCCACCTGTATGTCTTCTTTGGAAAAATGTCTCTTCATGTCCCTTTCCCTCTTTTTGATTGGCTTGTTTGCTTTTTTGGTATTGAGTTGTATAAGCTGCTTATATATTTTGGAAATTAATTCTTTATCAGTTGTTTCCCTTGCTATTATTTTCTCCCATTCTGAGGGTTGTCTTTTCACCTTGTTTGTAGTTTCCTTTGCTGTGCAAAAGCATTTAAGCTTAGTTAGATCCCACTTGTTTATTTTTGTTTTTAATTTCCATTACTCTAGGAGCTGGGTCATAGAAGATCTTGCTTTGAATTATGTCACTGAGTGTTCTGCCTATGTTCTCCTCTAAGAGTTTAATAGTTTCTGGTCTTACATTTAGGTCTTTAATCCATTTTGAGTTTATGTTTGTGTATAACATTAGGTAGTGATCTAATTTCACTCTTTTGCACATAGCTGTCCAGTTTTCCCAGCACCACTTATTGAAGAGGCTGTCTTTGCCCCATTGTATATTCTTGCCTCTTTTGTCAAAAATAAGATACCCATAGGTGCATGGGTTACTCTCTGGGTTCTCTATCTCGTTCCATTGGTGGCCAGAGTTTTGGAGTTTCAGCTTCAGCATCAGTCCTTCCCTGATCTTCTTTAGGATGGACTGGTTGGATCTCCTTGCTGTCCAAGGGACTCTCAAGAGTCTTCTCCAACACCACAGTTCAAAAGCATTAATTCTTCTGCACTCAGCTTTCTATAAAGAAAGTCCAACTCTCACATCCATACATGACTACTGAAAAAACCTTGACTAGATGGACCTTTGTTGACAAAGTAATGTCTCTCCTTTTTAATATGCTAGGTTGGTCTAGGTTGATCTTAACTTTCCTTTCAAGGAGTAAGGTTTTATGAGTGGTTATTGCTGAATATTTTTTATTTATGTATTCAAGAGTTTTATGATTATAATTTGTTTCTGTTGTAAGTGATGGTATCAATAGGCTGTGATCAAAATTATTCTAGACTTTGGAAACTTATCTGTTCACAGTTCTGTGGGTGGTTTTTAAAGATAGAGTGTATGATCTCAAAGATAATATCTGTTGATGTGGGAGAAGAGGTTTGAAAAGTTTACATGCACTTCTATAAAAGTGAATGGTTTGGTGGTTTTGAAAAGGTGTTAAAAGAAAGAAAAGGTGTTAAACACATTTGTGCTATTCATGATACTAATCAGAAACTGGCTGTTTATTTGACTTCTCAGTATGTAGCCTATTGAATGTGCCCCTCCAGATTCATTCTGATATGGTGATTTTCCAGAAAGGAGTGCTAGAAGGAGTAGAAGGATGTGCCTTGAACCCGTCTTTCTATCCATCTCTCCTTTGTCCCTCTTTCATTCTTCATTAGCCTCCTGGCCCATGAGAAACCCAGAGGGGTATAAAAAAAGATGCTTGGTTGGAGAGAACATTTGAACTCAGTCCCCCTGCATTGGGAGCATTGAGTCTTAGCCACTGGACTGCCAGGGGAGTCCCATGGATACATTTTTAGTACTGTTTTCTAGAAAGGAACTATACTTAGTCGCTCAGTTGTGTCTGACTCTTTGTGACCCCATGGACTGCAGCCCACCAGGCTCCTCTGTCCATGGGGATTCTCCAGGCAAGAATACTATAGTGGGTTGCCATTCCCTTCTCCAGGGAATCTTCCCAACCCAGAAATCAAACTGGGGTCTCCTGCACTGCAGGCAGTTTCTTTACCAGCTGAGCTTCTCGGGGGGAGGTGCAGGGGAGGTGGGCGGTGGTGGGCAAAAATGGAAGACTTACCTTTTGCATGTGTTCACATTGCTACTCATCATTCTGGACTTTTTTTAGTATTGCTTTAGAGTCCAAAGTTTAGTCTGATCCATGTTGGTGGAGAATCACCAAAACAACTTTTTAAGAAATTTCCATTATAGAGGACAAGTGCATGTGTTTTCATTTTATCCGTAGGGTATTATCATTTTCAGAGTTCTCAAACTTGGGTCAATGAGATACTCATTTCTGTTTTAATCATTTGAATCAAATTCCCATTCATGTTTCAATTCTTGGGAAACTTATTTCTCCCTCAGGTATCCCTTGATATATGAGAAGAGTCAATATTATGCTGTCCCATAGTCCATTTCTAGCAGAATCAACAAAGTACAGTCAGTTGCCTGGTCTCCTGGCTTCATCAGTCAAAAAAAGCAAACAGCCTGCCTCTCTTCTTGGCTTACCAAGGGTGCTTCCCAGAATCATCCTTCTTGCATACATGTGTGCTAAGTTGCGTTAGTCATGTCTGAGTCTGTGCAACCCTTTGGACTGTAGCCTGCCAGGCTCCTCTGTCCTTGGAATTCTCCAGGGAAGAATACTGGAGTGGGTTGCATGTCCTCCTCCAGGGGATCTTCCCTTCCCAATGTTTGAACCCGTATCTCCAATGTCTCCTGCTTTGGCAGGCAGTTCTTTACCACTAGTGCCACCTGGGAAGCCCCATCATCTTCCTTACTTATCATCAAATTCTCATCATAGTTCTCCTCACAAATCCATTGCTATTTCAGATAAGTGTTTGTTCCAGATTTTTATTTAACCTCAGTTCAGGTATAGTATAAACTATTAAGCAGTTAGGGATTTCTTAATTATTTAAGCCATGAATGTTCACTAGCAGAGCAAGTCATTCTTTAAAGAAATTACTCATGCTTAGATATATACAGGTTCTACTAACCAAGTAAGAAAGTTTTTACCAGCTGAGTGGTGCTCCCCAGCAATGTTTTGACTAAGAAGCCATATTTGAAGCCATGTGGGAGATACCATTTTATTTGAGGTAGATCTCCCACTCCCTGCTGCCTTGGTTGAGTCAGGAAGAAAGACTGTGACCTAATTTCCTTTCTCTGTCGCTGACTTCCTATTGCTATATTAGCACCTCCAAAGCATCCTGACTGAGGAGTACCAATTTCTTATGAGTTAAAGATTATCAGTCTCATGCACACTGTGTGTGATTGTGATAGACAAGGAGAATATCACACCTGCTCAGACCCCAGAGAGCTACACCTAGAAGGCTCCACATGAGCAGCTGGAGCAGGAAGGAGCAGGTGACAAAACTTTTCTCTTTTTTCCCTTCGGTTTTTTTGTAGCCTTTGTAGAAGAGGGCCTGGAGGTAGATGCCCTTTTCCCCTGTCTACTCCAAATATCTTCAGTCTACCTCCCCAAATCTGTGCAATGCTGAATTCAGTATTGAGGTGTAATCTTGGGACCTGGCACACAGAACCAAGAAATGAATTTTCATATTTCAGTTTTCATATTACCTTTTTCTCTGCTTTTTTTTTTTCTTGCTTCATTTCCCTAGTCATCCAGTTAAAGTTTTTTTAATTTGTATTTTGATCCTAGTTGGAATAAGAGCTTGAATTCTGGGTCATACAGGTAATTGCCAATATGAACTCTAAACTAGAAAAGGTATATTTTCATATTGTTGGTCACTTTTGAAAGTACCTCTTGAATTTCTTCAAGGGACAAGATAATTTACATGCTCCACTAACATGAAGAGTAACTTTAGGACATAGGGGTAGGGTCAGGCCATGATTGTGTACTGAACTTTGAACCTTTAAGTTGTTCTTCCAGTTTTTAAAAGCTGCGGTATAATTTACACTAACTAAAATACATAAATCCTAACTGAACATCTTGATGATTTTTTTTTTTTTTTACTGTGCTTTGCTTTTTTTAAAAAAAATTCATTAACCTGGTTTAATTCACACTGAAATTTTGTTGTTGTTGTTTTTGGCTGCATCATGAGGCTTGTGGGGATCTTAGTTCCCCCATCAGGAATTGAACTTGGGCCCCAGAAGTCGAAGTGCAGAGTTCTAACCACTGGATGGTCAGGGAATTCCCACTGTGCTTACGCTTATTAACCACAACCCCGATCAAGACGGAGGACACTTCCCACATCCCAGAAGCCTCCCTCAGCATCCCCTGCTTCTCTCACCATAGATTAGTTTTGCCTGTTTTCGGACTTGATATAACTGGAATCAAACAGTATGTGATTTTTGGTGTCTAACTTCTTTCATGTAACACGTCTATGAGATTTATCCACATTGTGTTTTTCCCTCCATCATTTATTTATTCATTTGTATATCTGTCTTAAGTTCTGGTGCTTGACTTGGAACATGTAATCAAGGGCAGTGAGATTGAGGAAAAAATGGAAGTGAGGTAGGGGAGGCTGAGAAACACTGTTGGGAGGTACATTACCATGATGGTGACGCCCCAGGATGGGCTGTGAAGATGCCGCTCATCATCAGCACTTGGCCGTGTTGGAAGCTTCCAGAGAAACTGTGTCTCAGAGTCTGTAGAAGGAAGGAAGGAAGAAGGAGTTTCTTAGCCTGCCTGTCTCTCACTTTCTGTTTGGTCAGCATTTGTATCAGGGCAAGCTATCTTTCTCTTGCTTAAAGCAAAGTGCCAAAGTAATGATTGAAGGATGGAGAATATTTCCGATATAGCAAAACACAGGATTGTGGTAGCAAAGTACAAAAGAAAGGGGAAGAGCTTTGCTCTTTTTGTCTTTTTATATTTAACTTAAAAAGCTACCAGTTCACAGCCAGTCGTGAAGTTCATGGGTGTGTGGGGGATAGAAGAAGATACCTTCCTCCCAGGTCTCCAGAACTCCTCTGAAGAAGAATGGAGACAAATATAATCAACCTGGAGACTTCTAGTAGTTTGGAAACTGGTGTGAAATCACTGAAGCACACTTCTGTTCTGCTTCTACCCACTTGTTCTTTTCCCTTTCTTTTTGTTTCTTGTATAAGATATAAGTTGGTTTCCATACCCTCATACTGACTCTCCTCTGCCCCTCCATTTTTTTAAATAATTATTTTCCTAAACATATTCTTTAAAAAACTACAGTATCATCAAATATCTCGTTATAGTCTAGATTTACCATTTTCTTTTATATATTTGTTTATTCTTTGCTTACTTATCTATTTATTTACAGATTAAGTAGGGTCCAAATTGATAGCTATGTCTCTTATTTCTCTGCTTTTGTTTTTCAATTAATGTTTCCTTCCCTTCTCACTTTCCTCGTTGTTTGGCCTTGCTTTTTATTTGTTAAAGAAATTGGAACAATTTCTCTGAATTTCCCAGTCTAGACATGGCAAGCATGCATTTCCATGGTGTCGTTTGCCATGCTCCTCTGTCCTCATATTTTTGTCAGTTGCTGTTATGTTTAGGAGCTTGGTTAGACTTAGATTTTATCTGTCTTAGGGGTAGAGAGAAGAGTACTTAATAAGGAAAATTGTGTTCTTCTATCAGAGGCACATAATATTAATGTCTGTTTGTCACTTGTCCTGTGATGTTGGCATCCATGGATGATTATTGTCTAGATCCATTGTTTCACTGATGGTTACAAAATGGTGATATTTTAATTTCATTCCCTTCTCAGTTATTAGTTAGAACATCCTATAAAGAAAAATTTCCCCTTATCAACTGTTTGCTAACTTAGAGCAATAGTTTGTATAGCAGGGGCAGAATAAGAGTTCTGCCCCTGAAGGCCCTTTAAGAGTTTTCAAAGTAACCTGCTGGTTCTCTATTATTTTTTGAAGGGAGCCAATGAATTCTCTTTGGTGTGTGTGGAAATATTTGCTGTGTTTTGATCCAGTATTGTTAATTACTGGTAGCCTACCTTTGGCTAGAGGAGACCCCTTCTGGTTGGATCCTGAGCCCTTTTAAAATGATGCTGCGTTTGCTAGGATCCTTGTTTTATAGCTTAAGAAGGGGTTTCAGGTCCATCTTTTATAGTTTCTGTCCCAGACTTGGAATCAGTCATATCTCCAATGAGCAGGGGCTTATAGTATTCAGAGACAAATGTTCTGGGTGCTATAATACACATTTATTGAGCTCTAACAATGTGTCTGAGTAGACTCCGGGAGTTGGTGATGGATAGGGAGGCTTGGCGTGCTGCGATTCATGGGGTCGCAAAAAGTCGGACACGACTGAGTGACTGAACTGAACTGAACTGAACAATGTGTTTATACTTGCATTTCAGTTTTTCCCTTAAAACTATACCTGTGTAACCTGTTGCTGTAGGAATTTGACTAGATTATTTGAATTTGAATGGACAGGTGAACAGATAAAGATCAGATACCTTCCTTTTGAACTCTGTTTAGGGTTGACAGCATTTGATGGGGTTCAGCTCTTTCTGTTTTAAAACATTATTTATTTTTCATTTCAGTTTCCTTTGCTTCTGCATATTCTTTATCAATATTTGCTAAAATGAAACTGAAGCTTCTGTGTTTTCATTCTCTTTCTTTTCCTTCCCCCCCCCCATTAGTTATCTTTCTACCCCGTGACCTTGCCTTCAGGTAAGGCTGCAGGTGTGGACTGGCTGAAGCCACCTGTGCTCTTGGCGTTGGGAGAGGAGGTTTGGAAGCACAGTTGTCAGGGTGGACGGGCTTCTGGTGTGTCCCACGCTGGTCATGGTGCATGTGGCTGCTTGTGTCCTGTGGTGGGAGACCTACGCACCTCAGCACCGTGTCTGGGTGACATGCGGACAAATGTAGCTGTCAGCCTCTGCGGCAGCAGGAACTGGTCAGTTAGACTGGCAAGCAAAAGTAGAGAAAGATCCTTGGGGGAAGTACAACCCCTGGGAGCTTTGAAACTGAAAACAAAATCCAAACCATTTCTAATTTTTCTGTTTTGCTTTCCCCCCTATTCCTTTTAGATGCAGTCCGATCATTAAGCAATGCCGAGGACTATCTTGATGATGAAGACTCAGATTAATTCCCTTCTGGAGCTTTGAGATCTGAAACTTCTGTTGCTTTTGCCATTTCAAAACCTTGTCTTTGTCAGAAGAGTGTTGGTAACTGTAAAAAAAAAAAAAAGTCTATATGAATGTGGCAGTATTGCACTGTGTTTGAGTAAAACTTGTAAGTGACTAGTTCTCACCTTCGGCTTGCCAATAAGTGACTGGATATTTTGCTGTATAAAGTACATGTTTGCTTACCAGAGTAGAACAAGAAGAGGTTATTTCTATTTATCAAGCTTAAAGGAATTTTAAGAATTTTTTTCTTTAAAAAAGTCAGATTTTTTTTTTTTTTTTTTAAAGTTCTTTACCTCAAGGATCGAGATATTTTGAATGGGTTTTTCAAGGGAGGAATGCTTATTATAATAATAAACCAAAAGATTTAACAAAATTGTCAGCTATTCTGACAAAAATAAACATTTTAAGAGACTTTCTTTTGTCTGTTTTATGGTATTACTCTTTGCTGATAAATAAATAAAGCTTTTTATATTTAGGTAAAGCCTGACTTGATTTTTCAAAATACATTTTGTATTATTAGCATAGAAGAATCATAGCAGCCAAATTTCTCTCTTTTTTCTGGGTAGAGTGCACTTTATTGTTGGTACAAGACGAGGTGGGGCTCCTTAATCCCCTCCCCTTCTTCAGGGGCTATGGGATGGAAACTGTGTGGACGTGAGAGATTCTCAATGTGTTAGGGGATCAAGTTGGCATAGTAGTGGAATTTCTGTTCAGCCTTCTCTTGGTATATTGGCTTTGATTAAAGTCAAGGCAGCAATCATTGAGGAGATACATTTCTAATAAAATACGTAAACTTAAGAAAAAAAACTTTTTATATTGTATTGGGGTATAGCCAATTAACAATGTTGTGATAATTTAAGGTGAACAGGGAAGGGACTCAGCCATACATATACATGTATCCATTCTTCCCCGAACTCCCCTCCCATCCAGGCTGCCACATGACATTTAGTAGAGTTCCACCTTGTTGGTTATCCATTTTAAATACAGCAGTGTGTACGTGTCCATCCCAAACTTAAACATTATGAGACTTTCAATTTTCTCTCCAACGTTATACTTAATGTGAAAAAATCTAGCAACTCGTTACAGTTTGCTTAAGGTTTGAAAGATGAACAAAAAAATTATTTCCTTATTATAAAAGGTACTATAATTTTCCATAATGGAGGAGCCATGAGCCATGAGATTTTTTTCCCCATTCAGTTTTTCACTTTGGTAAGTTATTTTCTCTAAACATGGCTCTAGTTCATAATGATCTGGCTTCTTTTGATAAAACATCAGTGCATTACATGTACTACCGAAGTGACAGTAGAATTTGAGATTCTAATTTTGATCACAGTAGTGATGATACTAAAGAATGACATGGCCATTGGCATTTGCCTAGATTTTAGGCCCCAGAACCAGAAGTATGTTTTGCAGGAGGACTTCGATGCTAATTTCAGAAAACACATTGGTGAAGAGAAGGAAATGTTTGAAGAAGGAAGTGGGCTAGCTCAGGAAATGAATAACTGCCTGTAGAAGCGTTTCCTCTGTCTGTGACTTTGGTTTTTCTCTCCATGGGTGCTTTGAGAAAGGATACCCTGAGGAGCCTGTTCAAGGTCTGTCAAATATCCCAAATAAATTTCAGTAGAAAGAGATCTGTGCAAGTATTAACAGTGAGAGATGAGCACAGAATCTGAAATTGGTTAAAAAAAAAAAAAAGGTATTTTATTCTTAAAACAAACACCTAAATTTAAACATTTTTATTGCTTTATAAGCATAGTATTGAAAATATGAAATCCTCGCTGAAATTCTTTTCCCACAGAACCGTTTTAAGTATTTGTTTTTTAAAATGGGAAATCTCTCAACTTTTTATTCTTGTGTACTTTGGGCCTGGGACCAGTCAGGATAGATGCCAACTAAGCACTCAATTATTATTTTTTTTGACATTGGTAGAGATAACAAAGTTTGTAGAAATATAGATAATTTTAATGAAAATACTATGTACTTGATGTAGATTTATAATGCATTTGAGGTAAAGAGGCCTTCCTGTCATTGCTTTAACATTAAGAGAATTCTAGAAAGTTGGCCAACTGTATACAATTTTGTTGGCAGTGGAGGGCAGGCTTAGGTATATACTTGGTTTTTTCTGTTGAGACAGCCACAATACACAATTTGGCTGTGGTTGAAACTCCATGAGAAAATTTACTTTGCTTCTTGTTTATTCAGTTTAGCTTATCTGAGCTTTCTCAGAGATTGTTTAATGCTGAACTCAGCAACAAAATTCAGTTCCAGGAAATTGCCACCACTCAGACTCCGTGCAGAGGAGAGCTTTGATTATATTCTAGAAATGACATTGGAGGTTTTACTGTAACCCGAGCTTTCTGATAGTCACTGTGGCCTGAACTCCTTCCCAGCCATTGCATCCTTAACAAAGAAGATGCCTTCCAGCCCCTCGGGCAGTGAGAGACTGGTCCAGCTATTGGCCCAGTGTATGTGCTCAGTCGCCCACTTGTATCCGACCCTTTTTGACCCCATGGACTGTAGCCTGCCAGGCTCCTCTGTCCATGGGGATTCTCCAGGCAAGAATACTGGAGTGGGTTGCCATGCCCTCCTCCAGGGGATCTTCCTAACCGAGGGATTGAACCCAGATCTCCTGCATTGCAGGCAGATTCTTTACCATCTGAACCACCAGGGAAGCCCATAACCTCATGCAAAAAAGCCCAGTTTTTATCGTAGTTTCCCATTTTAGTTTCTTTCCAGGACCGCTGTGTTGCAAATTATTTGTTGTTGAAGTGCCATGCATTACAGTTGTCAGTTTCTATGTTTCTTCAGTGATCCCCCCTCACCCCTATTGGATACTTTTAAAAATAGGATTGGCTATGTTGTTACCCAAAGGGATATGTTGAGCAAAACAATGATGACCTTATTTTTTTTTTTCCATCTTAAAAACCAAACTGGAAATGCTGAAAATGAAATCTAAGATAATTTTAGGCAGAAGAAAGCAATGTTTCCATGTAACCTTTCTTCATAAATGTTTTTTACTGTGTAGAATTTCTGATTCATTGGTATTTCTTCTTTTCTTATAAGTAATGCTTTCTGATAGGCTACAAGAGTCTGACATTGACACTGATCGCCCACACTTCCCTGTTAACTTTGACTTTGTCCTGAATTTTGTGTTGTAAAGACGTATGCAGCAGTAATACACCCATACACTGTGGAGTCAAACTTCAAAGTGTCTGATTACTAAAAGTTGAGATTTTGATGGGAGAAGTATTGCAAAAGACCCTGCTCTTGCTATTTTAACTGAAAATAGCTTTGGTGAACAGTTTCTTTAAGTGAAGGAAAAATTACAGACCACAAATTTATGGTTTCTGTCTCTTTATTTCTTAATAACAAGCCTGTACATCTTCTCCTCCCTTAAAATGACATAAAATTAAATAAAAGAACCATTTATTAAATGTCTATGCTGCCAGTTCTGTGCTAGGCACTTTCATAGACATGATGTCACTTGATCTTTACAGCAACCCCGGGCAGCAAACATGAATGCTCTTACCTTTTTACAGAGAAGCCAAGGTTTGAAGAAGTTAAGCAACTGTCTGAAGGTTGCACTGCTTGAAGGTGGAACAGCAGGTCTGGTTGACTCCTGAGCTCACGCACCTTCTGCCTATTGCAACTGGCAGGTAACACCATTGGCAGCCTGCCAGAAAAATAGGCACAGACCTGCTCCTTTTCTGACTCAGGCTTTGGATGTAGCATCAAATAAAGTGAGCTAATTTAATTAAATGTGTTATTTAACTAACCCTCAAAAAGAATTAAAAAAAAAATGACCTCCTTTTTTTACCCCAGAAAAATTTTGGCAACATTTTTGGGTTCTTCCCTGCTGGCTCAGACAGTAAAGAATCTGCCTGTAATGTGGGAGACCCAAGTTCAGTCCCTGGGTTGGGAGATCCTCTGGAGAAGGGAATGGTAATCCACTCCAGTATTCTTGCCTGAAGAATCCCATGAACAGAGGAGCCTGGAAGGCCACAGTCTCTGGGGTTGCAAAGAGTCAGACATGACTGAGTGACTAACACACAGACAACCCTGGAGAAATATGATCTAATGAAGCAGGTTGTACCCTCAAGTTCCCAGAATTTCCAAGTGAATGCACAGTAGACTGACTAAGTGTTAAAGAAGGAAAGTCAAGATTAGCAGCTATTCACCTTGCTCTGAGTTTGCACTGTTAACTTCAGCATTTCCCTCAGATAGTTTGAGAGCTCCTCATGTATTTCCACCTCACCATGAAAATAAGTGCACCCCTTCGGAAGGGTCAGGGAATGTTTCTTACACAAGTGTGTGAGCTCATCGTGGACACAGTTGTAACCTCAGCTTCCCAGGCAGTTCTGCTGTTCTTCTGCCGGTGCCCTTCTGCTTTCTGTTTCCATCTAAACTTGTGCTGCTGCCAACTAGGAGTTGAGTGAGGCCAGGCTCCTGGCTGTGGCTGGAAAAGAAAGTGGAGGAATCTGAAGGTGTGAGTTAGACTGAGAGGAAGCAGGAAGGAAAATGGAAGAAGAGACAAAAAGGAAAAGAGGCTAATCAGCAAAGGAGATAATGGTGACCTTCTCTAAATCACCCATAGTTCTGATATAAAAGAAGAATGCTTCAAGCAGTGACTCAGAATATGGGCTTTGGAGTGGAATTCTCTGATTCAAGTCTGGTTCTATTGCCTGTTGCTGAGTCACATGGACAGGTTACCTAAACACTCAGATTCCTTAACTATAAAATGGGAGAACAGTACCCATTGCCTAATGTTAAAAGGATTAAATAAAATGATCTATGTTGATGACTTTGGATAGTACCTGGCAAAGTAACTGCTAAATAAATGTTTGCAATACTCATAAGCTTGAATGAGGAAGTTTTCATTAAAAACAAATTGATGTGTGCAAATGAAGAATGTGTTAACAAACTTGTGTTTCAAAAGCACTGTTATTTGTGAAGAGTGGATTCCCCAAAATGCTTTTAAAATGGGGGGAGGACAGTGATATTTCCTTACGGTCATTTAGGTGTGTTTACATGTGGTAGTAGTGGTTTTCAAGATAAATACACTTTCTGTGAAGTATAGGGAAGAGGTGCGTAACTTGACCAGATTGTTACTATTATTATTAAAATGATTCAAAGATGAAGTGAGGAGATTATCCCTGCCACTCTTTCAGTTTTATATTGTTGCTTTGGAGTGGTTTGATGGGCTTGAAAGACCATAGGTCCTCTATTTGGTATGTGATGATTTCGAATTGAAAGGGTATTTCGTGTTACCATTTTGCTCTTATTTTGTTGTTGTTCAGTTGCTCAGTTGTTTTCAACTCTTTGCGAGACCATGGACTATAGCAGATCACTTTCACTGTCTCCTGGAGCTTGCTCAAACTCATGTCCATTGAGTCGGTGATGCCATCCAACCATCTCATCCTCTGTCATCCCCTTTGACTGCTGCCTTCAGTCTTCCTCAGCATCAGGGTCTTTTCCAATGAGTGGGCTCTTCCCATCAGGTGGCCAAAATATTGGAGCTTCAGCATCAGGCCTTCCAATGGATATTCAGGGTTGATTTTTTTTAGGATGGACTAGTTTGATCTCCTTGCAGTCCAAGGGACTCTCAAGTATCTTCTCCAGCACCACAGTTCAAAAGCATCGATTCTTCAGTGCTCAGCCTTCTTTATGGTCCAACTCTCACATCCATACATGACTACTGGAAAAACCATAGCTGACTATACAGACCTTTGTTGGCAAAGTAATGTTTCTGCTTTTTAATATGCTGTCTAGGTTTGTCATAGATTTTCTTCCAAGGAGCAAGCGTCTTTTAATTTCATAGCTGCAGTCACCATCTGCAGTGATTTTGGAGTCTGAGAAAAGAAAGCCTGTCACTGTTTCCATTGTTTCCCCATCTATTTACCATGTAGTGATGGAACTGGATGCCATGATCTTAGTTTTCTGAATGTTCAGTTTTGAGACAGCTTTTTCACTCTCCTCTTTCACCTTCATCAAGAGGCTCTTTAGTTCCTCTTGGCTTTCAGCCATAAGGGTGGTATCATTTGCATATCTGAGGTTATTGATATTTCTCCCAGCAATCTTGATTCCAGCTTGTGCTTCATCCAGCCCAGCATTTCTCCTGATGTACTCTGCAGTTAAGTAAGCAGGGTGACAGTATATAGACTTGATGTACTCCTTTCTCAATTTTGAACCAGTCTATTGTTCCATGTCTAGTTCTGTTTTGCTCTTATATGTGCCTTCAAAATGGAAACAACCTATTTAAATGGGTAAGTTTTGCAACACTGTATGTTTCCGCCATAAGGTCAAAGCTTAAAGAATTTGGTCTCCCAGTGTCAACCATATATGGTAAAGCAGTAGTCCTCAACTTTTTTTGCACCAGGAACTAATTTTATGGAAGATAGCTTTTCCACAGATGGACAGGGTAGGGGGCAGATAGGATTCAAGCAGTAATGCCAGAGATGGGGAGTGATGAGGAGCCGCAGGTGAAGCTTTGCTACCTTGCCCAGCACCCACCTCCTGTTGCCTCACTGGTTCCTAACCAGCAGAGGAGAGGACCAGAGGACCAGTACTTAGTACTTGTCCAACTGCATTGTCATTATACCCACCAAGGAATCCTAAGAATGAAACTATGGTATGTTATGTTTCCTTTGAACCAAGAGCCCAGTAAACTTGTAATGACTGCAAGTGAGTGAGAATAAAAGGCCAGTTTCACTTCTTCATTTTTTATTGATGCACCTTGCTTATTTTAATGGCTTGTATATATTTTTATTGCTGTGTTAGTAATGATTTCACATAAATTTGCATCATTAGGAAAAATCTCATTGTGTTCAAATTAGTTTGTGGGTCTCTTCTGCAGCATATAATTGTGGTTTAATACTAACAGTACACATCCAGTACTATCAAATTTTCCTTTTTCTGCAAGTTGTGTAGCAAGCTTTATTCTCTATATGTCATTTTTATTTCTCTTTCAACATAATTTCTTTATTGTGAGAAAAGCCACCAGTACTTGTTTTTGAAGATTGTTTCAATTTGTACTATTTTTTTGTTCTGTATTTCATAAAATCCATGAAAATTCCTTCCTCATCTCAATACCAGTAAGGAGTTTTAAACTGTGATCTGTGTGTGCTGAGTTGCATCTGACTCTTTGTGACCCCATGGACTGTAGCCTGCCAGGCTCCTCTGTCCATGAGATTTTCCTGGAAAGGATACTAGAGCGGGTTGCCCTTTCCTGCTCCAGGAGATCTTCCGAACCCAAGGATCAAACCTTGTGTCTCCTGCATTGGCAGATGGATTCTTAACCACTGTGCCATCTGGGAAGCCCAATTGTGATCTGAGGGATTCTCTATTATTTTGATCTTTTGGGTTACCTCATGCTGTTGCTTAAAATACTTTTAAGTTTTTAATTTGAAGTTGTGATGACCTGTTCCCAAACATTTTTTATTGCCCTACATGTATTCTTTTAAGAAAAATTGGTTTCACTTAAAAATATTGATTAAAGCAAACTAATATTTAAATGCAATTGTTGGATAATGATAAAATCATCACTATGTGTATTTCCACCTTTTAGAACTTTGAAACCTGTATTTGTCCTTTCTTCCCTATTCCTTTATCCCTTACATCTAATTTACAACCCTTGTGAATCCTAACTCTAAAATGATGTCTCTCAAATCTGTGCTTTCCTTTCCATTCCCACTACTACTGCCTGGATTTTCAAGGAGGAGTTTGAGTCTCTGTTTTCGGGGTAGCATCTAAGTAGAGGTTGGTGGTAAAAAGGGATGTCCTTGAGGATTTGAGGACAAACTGCAGGCAAAAGACACCATAATTATAATTAAGAAGAGCCTAAGTTGAGCGCCGAAAAATTGATGCTTTTGAACTGTGGTGGTGAAGACTCTTGAGAGTACCTTGGACTGCAAGGAGATCCAACCAGTCCATTCTAAAGGAGATCAGTCCTGGGTGTTCATTGGAAGGACTGATGCTGAAGCTGAAACTCCAATACTTTGGCCACCTCATGCGAAGAGCTGACTCATTGGAAAAGACCCTGATGCTGGGAGGGATTGGGGGCAGGAGGAGAAGGGGACGACAGAGGATGAGATGGCTGGATGGCATCACCGACTCGATGGACATGGGTTTGAGTAAACTCCAGGAGTTGGTGATGGACAGGGAGGCCTGGTGTGCTGCGATTCATGGGGTCGCAAAGAGTTGGACACGACTGAGTGACTGAACTGGACTGAACTGAACTGAATTGAAGTGCAGCAGCCCACTCCAGTGTTCTTGCCTGGAGAACCCCCTAGACAGAGGAGCCCGGCAGGTCCGTGGGGTCGCAAAGAGTCGGACACAACTGAGCGACTAAGCACGCAGGCAAGTTGTAGCAAGTAAGATGAAGATGTGTGCCACATTTGTAAATGAGGCAAAAACTCATTAGTGGGAATAAAATGAAGATTTGGACCAGGTCTACATGGTCTCCAAGGTATCTTGCAGGGGTGGGTCCAGCTGCTTGGAAAGGCTTACTGTGCTAGGTGGCCAGCATGCCAACTCAGGCTCTTCCCAAACTCCTTACCATCTAACCAGGTGCACTTTCTGCCCTCAGGCACTTTCTGTTCTGTTCCTTCCTGCACACCAGTGATAAGATGATCTAACTGATCATTCTCCACAGGGAACGATCATCTGTCTTCTCTTGCTCTTGAAACTGAAATTCAAGGCAATCTCTAGCTCTGAAGCATTTTCTGTTTAGTTAAACTGGAAATGACCTCTTTCTCCTTTTCTTTCTTGTAACATTTGGTGTTTTTACTTTTCAGTTATCATGTGTCAAATATTTTTGTGCCAGTTACTTTGTGTTTATCTTTACTCCTTATCTCATTGAGCACATTGCTTTTGCCTCAGATAACATAGTGCCTGGCATAGAGTAAGTGCTTTAAAAAAGTTATGCAGTCAAGTTGATTCTTCCCCCTTCTCTGTGTAAAGTTCTATGAATTTTAACAATGTGTATGTTTGCATAACCACCACAATCAGGTTATAGAACAGCTCCCTGCCCCAAATAACTTCAGGGGCTACCCTTTTATAGTCATACCCTCTGGCTGCTCCACCTGCTGTCAATTACTCCAGTGACTGTCAATTCCCCATCCCTGCTGCCTTTTCCAGAAAGGCATATAAATGGAATCATTCAGCATATCATCTTTTGAGTCAAACTTCTTTCATTCAGCATACTATCTCTGAGGGTATTCAAATTTGTTGCATGTATCCTTTTTTTAAACTTCTATTTTATGAACGTAACACAGTTTGTTGCTGAACATTTGGGTTGTTTCTAGTTTGGGGCAATTGTGGAAAGCCATAAACATTTAGGTACATGTTTAGTACTTTTTGTAAGAATGGAAAGCAAATCGGATTTCCCTCTGTTTCCATCTTTAGCAGCGGGTGAAGCTGCAGGAATGGAACAGGAGCTTGAATTCTAACCTCCCACGGGTGCTTGGACCTTTTCTTGCGCCCATAATTTCCTTCCCCGTCCTTCAAGTGTTTCTCTGTTTACTTTGAAAATCTACATTTCTTTGGCCGCACACTCAAGGCTAGGTGCTCAGATGTCTGCTACCTTAACCAGGCTATCCTTGTAAAGCAGATTTTCCCGATGCACTCAGCAGCCGGTCCAGGGGGCTCTCCACAGGGTTCTCCCCTCCAGACTAGTATGGGGTCCGCGCGGGCCACTGTCGTTGACGGGGACCGTGGGCAGAAGCACAGCTAAGGCGGCCGGATGCAGGCAGCGTGGGGCGGGCCTCCGGAGGACCCTCCCCTCGGCCTTCACCTTGCTGGTCCGCCCCGTCCCACCTGGCCCGGCTAATCTCCCGAGCTCTGGGCGAGGCGGTCTCTCCCCACTTCCTGCAGCACCAGGCTGGCGTTTGGGGAAGCTGTGGCTTTGGCACCTGGAACAGAAGGCCTCTCGCCACTCTGTCGTGTGCTCTGCCGCGCCCTCTGCCTCTGGGGCAGCGAGCATCCCGCTGTTGCCACATTTCCGAGGGCGAGTTCCACGAAGAAGGCTGCCGGCTTCCTTGCCTTCATATCCCCTGCCCTGGGGCACCGGAGCCCAGGCCTCCACTTCCGGCTCGGGCACAGCGCCAGCCACATCGTGAGCACCTTTTCAGTGAGTAGATGACGCATGGTCAGCGTGGTTTCAACCGCTGGCTCTTATGGACTGTTTTATGTTAGCAAAACTGGGGATAGGCCTCAGTGGAGGCCAAAAAAGAGAATCTGTTTGTGTTCACACTCTGACACCAATGTGTGTATCTCCCCCACACCAGCAATTCTCCAGCTTCCTGGAGGCCAACCGGTGTCCTGTGATTCAGTCAATTCTGACACTCTCTAGTGCGGTTAGCACTAACCTCGCCCAAGTGAAGGGCTCAGTCCTACCAGACTGCCCGTGGCCGCCCTTCAGAGGCCAGGCCCAGGCCCAGAGTACTTCTGACCTGCTGGTTATGATTCAGGTATACTCATGACCTCCTGCCCCATCTTGAGTGTGATGATTTGCTAAAGTGGCTCACAGACCTCGGGAAAATAGTTTACAGCCAAGTGGAAGAGCTGCATAAGGCCAGGTGTGGGCAGAGAATGAGGTGGGGTTGGGGGCCGGTGTCCCTGCCTCTGAATCTGGTGCTCTCTGCATGTTCACTAACCCCAAAGTTCTCCAAACTCCCTCCCTTAGGGTTTCTTAATGGAGGCTTCATGACACAGCCCTGGTTGATTAAATCATTGGTCGCAGGTGATTAACTCTACCTCCAGCCCCTCCTTCCTACCAGGTGGGACTGAAAGTTCCAACCCTCTAATCACAGGCTTGTTTCCCTGGGTAAACAGCCTTCATCCTGAGGCCTTCCAAGATCCCCCAGCTGTTAGTCATATTGTTAGCATACAAAAAAGACAGTTACCACTTCAGAGGTTACAAGGGTTTTAAGGAACTATGTGCCAGGAAAGGGGGAGGGAGATCAAATACACATTTCTTAATACATATTTTCTCTCTATATATAATTAATGTATATCTTATACATACAAGTTACATTGTATGTGCATATATAATGAGTAGTTCTGAAATAGTCATACAATGATCTTTCAGATTTCAGGTAAAGAGAATTACTTCTGGCTAATTGTGGGTGTCACTGAGGTATGATCAATATTATTTGGATTCTGAAGTCAAATAGTTGCTTCCCAAACAGAGGCTTGACCTTGCAAATCAAGGAAATATAAGCACTTATATAAAGATTTATTTTGTGATTTATGTAGAACTGGCCATTTCTGAAATGCTTGTTTATATCATTTATATCAAGCGGTCTGAAATGTCAGTTTATATATCATTGATAGAATCGTTCCCTATGATTCAGAAATATAGCCTATTTTAAATCTAATTTTTTTATAAGAAATTGTCACTGTAGACATTTTTAGAAATTTCAAATAGAGCAAGACATTCTCAGAAAAAAGTCAAAAGAGTACAAAACATTCTGACTTCTCCTTTTACTAAAACAGGGCCATATGTTTTACAAAATATGGCATAGAGAAAAAAGGCATTCATTTTCAGGGAGAGTTGTTTTTAAGTCTTGGATTAGCTGCAAATTCAGTGAATGACTTCAGGCAAGTCACTTAACCTCTCTGAGCCTGTTTCTTCATCTCTAAAATGAGAGTACTGTTGGCTACCAAGCAAAATGGGTTTGCAGATGTCGAGATAATATACAGAAAATACTAGTTGTATTATTCATTTAATAAGTACTAAGTTCTTGTCTTCTCTGAAATTTAACTTCCTTATCTTTAAAATTTCATTTTAAATTGTCTACCATGAGTCAAACCTAGAGAATAAAAGAGAATGTAAAAACATAATGGGCTTCCCTGGTGGCTCAATGGTAAAGAAACCCCCGCCACCCCACCCACCCCCCACCAGTGCAGAAGACATGGGCTCCATCCCTGGAAGATCCCCTGGAGAAGGAAAGGGCAGCCCACTCCAGTATTCTTGCCTGGGAGATCCCTTGGACAGAGGATCCTGGCAGGCTGCCGTCCATGAGGTCACAAGAGAGTCAGACACAACTTAACTGATCACCAACAACAAAGGCCATGATAGTTGACTTGCTGATCTTGAAATATTGTGCCTGGAAGATACATCTGTTCACAATTCAGGCAATAACAAAAAGTAAAAGTAAAAATAAATCCAGAACTGGAAAAATTTTTATAAATCATTTGGTCTTAGTCCTACACGTAAAGATAAGGAGGGCTTCCCTGGTAGTTCAGCTGTTAAAGAATTCTCCTGCAATGCAGGTTTGATCCCTGGAAAGTTGTTTTCTATTTAAAATTTCTTCAGAGGGTATGATGCAGGAGGTTATGCATTGTGATTCTATCTTTCAAATTAAGGACTGTATAAATGAGGAATAATGACATTAAATGTCTAACCTTGAACTCAAAGATTCCCAAATGCTCTGTCAGTTCAGTTCAGTTGCTCAGTTACATCCAGCTCTTTGCGACCCCATGGACCACAGCATGCCAGGCCTCTCTGTCCATCACCAAATCCCGGACTTTACCCAAACTCATGTCCATTGAGTTGGTGATGCCATCCAACCATCTCATCCTCTGTCATCCCCTTCTCCTCCTGCCCTCAATCTTTCCCAGCATCAGGGTCTTTTCAAATGAGTCAGCTGTTCACATCAGGTGGCCAAAGTATTGGAGTTTCAGCTTCAGCATCAGTCCTACCAATGAACATCCAGGACTGATCTCCTTTAGGATGGACTTGATGGATCTCCTTGCAGTCCAAGGGACTCTCAAGAGTTGTCTCCAACACCACAGTTGAAAAGCATCAATTCTTCAGTGCTCAGCTTTCTTTATAGTCCAATTCTCACATCCGTACGTGATTACTGGAAAAACCATAGTCTTGACTAGATGGACGTTTGTTGGCAAAATAATGTTTCTGCTTTTTAATATGCTGTCTATGTTGGTCATAACTTTCCTTCCAAGGAGTAAGCGTCTTTTAATTTCATGGCTACAGTCACCATCTGCAGTGATTTTGGAGCCCAAAAAAATAAAGTTTGCCACTGTTTCCCCATCTATTTGCCATGAAGTGATGGGACCAGATGCCATGTGTTAAGATTCTAATTCTTCTTCTTATAAAGATAAGGCAGTTTTCTTATAAGAATGCTCTTTATGGAGATGGGTACTTCAGTCTTATGATAGCCTTACACATAGTCACTTAAAATCCTTTCCCAGCCTAATGGTACAAGCACTCCCATCAATGTGCCAAGATTGACTCTTACCTAAGACTGCATGCCCAAGGCAGGGTTTTGTAGATATTGCATGAGCTTGCATGCTCAGTTCTGTCTGACATGTTGCGACCCCATGGACTATAACCTGCCAGGCTCCTATGTCCTTGGCATATTCCAGGAAGAATACTGGAGTGGGTTGCCATTTCCTCCTCTAGGGCATCTTCCTGACCCAAGGATAGAACCTGCGTCTCCTGCATCTCCTGCATCAGTAGGCAGATCTTTACCACTGAGCCCTCTAGGAAGCCAGATATCGCATAAATGCCCCTAAGTTCAAGTTCCCTTCCAGACTCATCTACTTTTCTTCTGCTTTAAGATACTGTGGCTTGGGACTTACCTGGTTCATTGGTTAAGAATCAACACAGGGGAGTTGGGTTCAACCCTGGTAAAGGAACTAAGATCCCACATGCCGCAGGGCAATTAAACCTGCATGCCCAAACTAAGCCTGAGCCACAGTGCAGAACCAGCAAGCCAAAGCAAAACTAAAATACTGTGGTTTGTACATCAACTTTCCTGTGTCCCTTAGCCAATAGACGTCATGTCTACTCATGATCAGTTTCTGTATATCTGTATTTGCATTTATTTGTATGGCACCTTTAGACTTTTCACCTTGACACAAAAATGGAGTTTCTGTAGGATGGTTCTTCCAGTAACTGTTCAGTGCTGCATCCTGCAGTCGCTGGCAAGGGTTGCTTCTCTTCTAAATTCTGCTGGATGAGTCTGATGATCCTCTAACCTGCTTACCATCTGGGTATTTGCCTAAGATCCTAAAATAAGCCATGGAGATGGGAATTGAATCAAAATCTACCTGACTCCAGAGCCCTGTTTTCAACTTTTAAGCTAAATTGCTATTGCAGTCCCACTATTTGGGTCTCAGTTAACATGAAAAGGGCTTCCCTTGTGGCTCAGCTGGTAAAGAATCTGCCTGCCATGTGGGAGACCTGGGTTTGATCCCTGGTTTGGGAAGATCCCCTGGAGAAGGGAAAGACTACCCACTCCAGTATCCTGAACTGGAGAATTCCATGGACTGTATAGTCCATGGGGGCGCAGAGAGTTGGACAAGACTGAGTGACTTTCACTTTAACATGAAAAAGTAAATTTGTGTTAATTGCATTGAACATTTTAGTTTTTCAGGTTTTAGTTTCCTCTTTTTTAATCTAAGGATTATGATGGTTCATAAATAAGGAATTTTGGAATCACCCAGAATGTAGGCATACTCCCTCTTCACTGATACTTTTGTGCTCACTTACCCATATCAGCTCTCTGGATTGATCTGAGATCACCGAGGGAAGCACAAAGAGGTTCTGAGTAGTGAGAAATGACACAGAAACCACAACTTGCAAAACTGTACCATAACTTGCAAAACAGAAACTTGTGCCAAACCGTGACTACAAGGCAAACCGTCTAAACTCTGATCCCTTTAACACCAGTTCACTCAGACTCCTACATTCAAGAGAAGTCACAAACTTGATTTAATGGCAACTGTATAAGGACTTGTATCTTTTAAAGATAAAAGCCACTGATTGTACCAGTAACTGACCTAGTTGGCAAATTTTTACTGATCCCCACCAAAGACCTTGCTCTTTATCTTCTGTCCTAAAACCACTGAATGACAAATTCCAGGCTCCCAAACCCTGTAAATACCTTTCTGTAACTATTCTAGTTTGAGATGTGTGTGCTCCCTCTTGCTACAGGAAGCTAATAAACTTAACCTTTTTTTAAAGAAACTTTATTTTACATTCCATGAACTGAGGAGCCTGGTGGGCTACAGTTCATGGGGTCACAAAGAGTCAGACATGACTGAGCAACTAACACTTTGATTTCATAGCCAGTTAACAATGTGATAGTTTCAGGTGTTCAGCAGAGCTACTTAGGCTT